GACTCCTACATTACGTCAAACATGGCTTTTAGTTAGGAAACTATGCTTGAAAATTAGAGTACGAAAAATTATGTTTTGATTGAGAAAGAGGTCTAAAAGGCGAGACGGTAAAGCCTCTCGAGTTGTATAAGCATCCTATACAAACTAAGAACACAGTTTTTAATAACGCACAATGCACCACCGTATTCTTGTTAAAACAACTTGTTTTTCTTCTTTTTCTTTCTCCTATATTCAATACAAATTTATAATAAATAGCTAGTAGACTTTGAAAAGGGAATCTAATGCATAATTCAATTGGACATATACGTTGTAACTTACAAGTTAAATAATTTAATGAGAAAATTCTGATAAACAAATAAGCTATGTAAATAAGAAGCTATATATATTTTGAAAAAACATTGTTGGATTCTTGTCGTCGCTATGATTATTTTCAAGGAAATCATTATTTTAGGAAAACATAGTAAAATTGCATGTTAAAATATTTTACCAATCATAGAATCGATGGAATATTACTCCAATCATCTATTCCCATTGGAATAAAACTATAAAACTTAAAACTAAATTACAAAATAAAGTTTTATATAAACTGAAAAAATAAAAAAAAACGTCTTAAAAATAACATGAACAACAACTGTCGAGTTTGTTAGTTCGTTTCGCATTTTATTTTTTATTTCATTTTTTTTTAACAGCTATATATTGTTCTAAATAAAGTTATTTACAATAAACTAATAAATCATGATAATTTTATTTACGAGTAGCATTCAATAAATAACAAATAACAGAAGTTTCGATCTATATATTACGTAGAACTGTGTACAATGTTTTTAATTTATGTTCACTGAGGCATGGCATATTACAGCCGAACTTCTTTCAATAACCTAATTTTCGATCTACATATTTGAAAATATTCGTCAAATACATTAATTTAACTAACATATATTTCTTTTTTCAAACTATTCTATGGTTTTACAAACAGTTAACCCAATATGTGAAAATCATCTATTGAATTTTAACCAAAAAAGTGCATTTTGATTTAAAAAGATATCTTTTTTTAAAAGAGAGTTTATTTGGGTCCTCAGGAAACAGTAGTCAAAAGATAATGCAAGTCTAAACTTTTATACAACTGTTTCTTATAAAAAGAAAAGTTTTTCAAATTTTAAAGTTTTTTTTTCAATAATCTTAAAATAAAAGATTAGATATATTTTGCAGAAGACGATCATCTTCAGTCGATTAAGAATAGGCCATGCGAGGTTAACCCACAGAGATACTTTTGGGCCAAAATATGTGTATCTGTATGTGTCCGGCATGTAGAGAAAGGTTGTTCGACGTGCTCCAATTGAAGGGTGTCATTCCCTGGCTCCTCTTTGAGAGCGTGTAAGAATGCCAGACCAGGGCTTTTTTTTAATGAATACAGCACTTGGTAGGTATATACGTTTCGTGTCTATTTTTGTGTACATTGAAATTCGTATATATTAGCATGAATGTGTAGTAATGTAGTAGTAATAATGTTGTGGAATATCAAACACTCCTTGAGTAAGCTAATTAGCTAAATTCTGAACATATGTGTAAGTGCAGTTGAGCTTATACATATAAATCATTCAATCATATTTTGACCTGTTTTAAAATATCCATGTATTGGGTTGTCCGGAAAATAATGCAGGATTTTAAGTTTTCATTAAAAAAAATCTATATAAAATATTCTGTTTACGTTTACAGGATTACTCATTTGTATGAATGTCAACACTTATTAATCCTCTTCCAAATGATATTGTTTGTTTACCTCTGTAGCATTCCGCTACTTGGAAATAATTCAGTCATCCTTATAATGTCAAAGCGAGAATTTCGTACGATTTTCTTTTACGAGTTTAAACTCGGCCGAAGCGGAGCCCAAACGGCTAGAAACATTAACCAAGTCTGGGGCGAGGGTTGTGTTAATGAGTGCACTGTGCAAAGGTGGTTTAAAAAATTTCGGGAGGGAGATTTCAGCCTTGAAGATGAAGAAGGTCGTGGAAGGCCTTCCTCTCTTAATGATGATGTTCTGCGATCAGTGGTGGAAGAAAACCCCAAAACAACTGTTCGAGAACTTGCAGAGCAACTCAAAGTCAGTAAAACGACCGTCGCTGACCACCTCAAGGCGATTGGAAAAGTGAAAAAACTCGAAAATTGGGTTCCACACTCATTAAACGATCGCCAAAAAATCAGCGCTTTGATGTTTGTGCATCACTTCTTTGTCGAAACAAAAATGACCCATTTCTGGCCAGAATTGTTACATGTGACGAAAAGTGGATTCTCTACGATAACACTAGACGTTCTGGACAGTGGCTCGACAAAGGAGAAGCTCCAAAGCCCCCAACTCATCAAAAAAAGGTAATGGTTACGGTATGGTGGGCTTCATTTGGTTTAATACACTACAGCTTCTTAAATCCTGGCGAAACCATCAATGCTGAATCATACTGTAACCAAATTAATACCATGCATCAGAAATTGGCAGTAATGAAGCCCTCTTTGGTCAATCGGAAAGGGCCCATTTTGTTGCATGACAACGCTCGACCACATGTGTCACGTGTAACGTCACAAAAATTATTGGAGCTTGGCTATGAAACTTTGCCTCACCCACCCTACTCTCCGGACCTCTCGCCTACTGACTACCATTTTTTTAGACACCTGGACCACTACTTACAACACATAATATTCAAAAATCAAACGGAACTGGAAAATGCATTTATTGACTTTATCAATTCTAAAAATTCTGAATTCTACTCAGACGGAATTAATAAGTTACCAACACGTTGGGAGAAATGTATTGAGAGTATGGGAAATTATTTTGATTAAAGAACATTGCTTTAAAGTAACTAGTTTCTTTTTTTTTGTTTAATACCAAAATCCTGCATTATTTTCCGGACAACCCAATAGATAATAACTCGAAAATTTTTTCTGTATTCATTTCAGTCATTACAACCAAATTCCTCGTTTGTATGTTTGTTCAATTGAAGAAGGTACAACGAAATTTTACTATGTTCAAATGCCAATAAAGATTGAAAAGAAAGTAAAGGTGATTTTGAAAAAAATAGAATATGGATCGTTGTCGTTGATTTGTCTCGTCCCCTTTGTGCCAACCAACAAAAAAGGAAAAAATGTAGACCTTATTTTTGGACACAAAAGTCAATATAAAATCTCAACACGACATACAACAATGACACATCTACACAGAAACACACACGTTGAGCCCTGAAGATGATCTCAATGAAGATCGAAACGTTGGCACTATAAAGAAAATGTTTTTCTAAACCTACATAGCACCAAACCGCATCTCACGATATCGATCTCTAAATAATTATTAATTAACGATCACTAAATACCACACATTTCCTTTTTTACTTCGAAAGGCTTAAAGTTTTATGTTTTCACATGACATTTTTGCTATTAAACAATTTTAAAAAGATGTATTATTTTATTTTTACAAATTTATTTTGGTCATTAAAATTTAGAACATTAAGGAATAGGTTTAAACAATGGTCCATGATGAACTAATTAACTATGACAGTTCTTCATTTTTGAATAATTTCCTCGTTGTATTATTAAGCTTAAATTACCATCGTATTTTATTTTATTCCTTACATAAAATTCCATGGAAATGAAACACTTCTTATACATTGACCTATGAATTACTGCTACTGATAATTGATTATTCATCAAGTTTTGGCTTATTACCATAAAGTTAGACAATTTTCGATGTTCAAGAAAAAACAGGGCAATTGTTGTGTGGATAAGTTTTCAACAAACTATTAAAATTCACTGAAACTTATTTTTAATAATTCATAAATGTTCTATTTAATTTAAAAGCTTCATCATTTGGTAATATAGTCAAACGTAGCTTAATTTTAGTAGACAAACATACATAAATTTGTAAACATTTAAATCATCTGTTAAAACAAACCCCTACATTAAAAAAACAGGCCTAACAAATGGCAATAAAAATTACATCCAAAAATTAAATCCAAAATAAAAAATACTCGATGGGTGTCATTACTTGGCTTCATATAGCGAGCATGTGGTATGCCACTCTATATGAGAATTTAGCTTGAGCACGGCAGCAAGTATTTGGGTCCCCTGCGAATAATTCAACATCCCAGCAAAATTAACCGAAACGTTTTTTAAAAACAAATATTCATTAGTGTTATATTTAATTTAAAAGATTTAGCACTTGATAGTAGTCAAACGTAGCAAAATTTTAGTATATAACCATGATACGTGAATTTATAAATATTTAAATAATATCCGTCTAAACTTGAAACATTTTAAAAACCCACATCTTCGAAAACAGGACAAACAAATGACAATAAAAATTATCGATAAGGAAAAATAATTCATGCCATTTTGTGGCTCCTTATAGAGAGGGTGTAGGAATGCCCCCCCCCCATATGAGAATTGAACTTCAGAACGGCAGCAAGTGTTTGGGTCCCCTGTGAATAAGTCATCAACATCTTACAAAAATTAAGCGAAACGTTTTTAAAAATAAGTATTCATAAGTGTTTAATTTAATTTAAAAGATTTAGCATTTGATAATTGTTAAACCTAGTATTAATTTAGTAGATAATCATATGAATTTATAATTATTTAAGTAAAAGTTAAAAACAACCCTCATGTTCAAAAACAGGCCTAACAAATAATACAATAACAATAATGAAAAATAATTAAAGGGTGTCATTTGGTGGCTCCATACCAGGTGTAAGAATGCTACCGATATGCGAATTGTGCATGAGCTTTTTTAAAAAATTATTTAAAAAAACATAATATTATTATTATTGACATGGTTGTCGTGAAGATTTCAAATATCTTGCTGTCGAATAATAAAAATTGTTTAAATTAATCCTCTTTGCCTTCAAAATAAAATCGTTTTTTGACTTTGATGTACAAACCATCAATGATTCAATATATAACATACAAACCTTTTAGGTAGATTGTTAATTAATTTTTTTAAATTCAACTGTTTTGGTTACCTTGTTGTACGTAGAGAGCGAGAAGGGAGAAAAGAACAAGTGTTGCACGAGCCATGGCGATGTACTGAATGATACTTTTGGAAAGAAGAGGCGCGCTCAAGAGCTGGTGTGCCCCCTCTTAGTACTGATTTACCGAAGGTTAAAAGGAACGCCAGTCAACTCAATGTCTTTTTTAATCAATTGCTAATCTCATCGTTCATTAACAATTTTTGATCTTTACAATAACTGGGTCAAAAATCCCAAGGAAAAAAATCAATTAGAGGATTTTCTTACAAATCTTTGCACCTATGTCAATTTTAAGAACGTGGAAAGAATCCAGGAGAAGAAGGAATAATATAATGTTATAATAATAATAATAATAATATAGGGTAAATCTATTTAAATCGATTTATTTAAAGCTGTGACGATTATAGTTTTTTTAGAAACCCCCCCCAAATGAAGTGAGTTAACCAAATTTAAAATGTGTGATGATTAGTGACCGTTAATCGATATTTATTTAGAAATCGTGAGATGCGGTCTGGTGTGATGTAGGTTTCAGAAAAACATTTTCTTCATCGTGCCAACGTTTCGATCTTTATTGAGATCATCTTGCGTGTCGTGTCGAGAGTGCCCACTCAAGAATGGCACAATTTCACAGAAGACAAACACTTTGAGCGTGTTTAAAGATCGAATCGTTGGCACGATGAAGAAAATGTTTTTCTGAAACCTGCATCACACCAGACCGCATCTCACGATTTCTAAATAAATACAAATTTAAAATGATAAAACCTTAATTATTCTGTATAAGAACAAGTATACCGAATTAAAAAACTCCAAAAATAATTCTCTCCCAATTTTTAAAAAATCAATTTTTGTAAGCTAGTTCGAAGTAGAAGATAGTCGATTTTGAGTTACAACGTACGCGCGTACCAGACCAGACGACGATAATTAACTATCGGCAAACTGTATAAGATTTTTTTATTATGATATTTTCATTATGAACGGGAAATCAATTTCAATAAACGTTTTTCTAACTATGGTATATTATGCATTGTTGTTCAATTTCGATCAAGGTATGGTCTTGACGAAGAAAGCAAATTCATTTGTTACTGCCAAGCTTTCGACCTACTTTAAAGTCATCATCAGGGCAAAACAATCTTAAATATATCTACAAATTGACATATTTAAGATTTTTACCGGCGATCTCAAAGTTCCTTGAAAGCCGGCTCAGTTCCAACATTGCCAAGGACAGTTACGATCGAAAACAACAGTACACAAACATAAATATGTCATTCTGTAGACTTTAAGATTGTTTTGTCCTGACGATGAAAGCTTGGCAGTAACAACTGAATTTGCTTTCTTCTTCAAGACCATACCTTGATTCTGAGTGTTCGTAAGTGAAAAAGTGGTCAATATTTCTAATACTAAAAACTGTAGTTCAATATAGAAGTTTGACTGATCAAGTCCAGCCTTGTTTTTCAAACCTTTTGCGTTTTTTGCTTGATCAACGTTTTGACTTTTCCGTATGGTGTCGTCTAAATATAAGTAGGTATTTGTGAGGTACACATGCACCAGAAAAGGAACCTTGATGTTTGTCATCAGAGTCTTTTGTAAAATAGTTTGGCATTTTCCTTTTAATCGATCATGTTGGCTATATAATTAGGAACTATACTGAAAGCACTCTTCCGCTTTTAAATATTACCAGTACGTTTGGTGTTGATTGAAAAAAAATCCACTACAATGCAAAAAAACTACGTTGTATGCTATGACACCTTTTGTGGACAAAGAGTCCAAATGACCTTTTCTTAAAATATGTTTATTTTAGTGGCTGCAGTTGCACTATGATTTTTCACATTTCCTTAAATTTCCCATTAGTAGCACCCTTCCCATGTGATGGCATGATGTTGCGTACGTATGCTTCACAACCCTATTGTCAAATCTCAGAAGCCTAAGTAAGTCGTTCCTTTTGATTAATGTTAAGGCCTATTGCTCCATAATTTCTAAAAAAATTAATTCTATTGCATGGAGAGAAAAGTAAAGGGCTTAGGTGTTTACCCAGCAGAACTCCTTCACGGATTTTTATATTTTTTTATAATATCGCTATCACTTCGTAGTACGATTGTTACATTTTGACTTTTTAAAAGATTAGCCAGAGATGCCAATCTTATTCATTTTTTACCAAAATTTAGCATGAGGAAGTCAAAACCTCTGGAGAAATCTACGAAGATTCTGGCCACACTTGTTCTTTTATGTATCTGGTTTATTTATGTTAACAATTAAGTATGAGGAGAACATAGCATCTCTGCTTCTCGTATTTTTTTAATAAACAATCGGCTCTTACCCAGCTTTCAGGAATCAGTTTTTTCCCCAAACTTTCTTCCAAATGTTATGCATTTAATGTAACCAATTTTGAAGTAGGGCCATTCATTTAAGATCTTGTAGAGTTCAAGAGATTTATTTATTTATTTCTCGTGAATATTTAAAAGAAGAGCATTCCTGTAGCTAAATGGTAAATCTAAGTTTATGCCAAGTTTGAACTTGACCCATTGAGTATTTTCAGATTGAAAAAAATTCAATTGTCATGGCATTAGTTTACTCACTTGCCTTATTAATTTAATTAGGACAATAACCACCATTAGTATTTTAGCAATAACTAGGAATGTTTATAAAGAAAAAAGGCTGTAAAATTGCAATAGAAATTCATTCATTCGAATTACTACGTGAAGAGGTCTGTGGACAACACAAATGATTTCTTTTTAACGCAGCGATACACTGATTTAGTAGACAACTGAATGGAAAAGTTTTTATAATAGTCTCGCCGATTAGGGTTGTGGTCAAAAAAATAAATAGTGCTATTATATCAACGCTGAGCTTTCGACGATATATTTCGTCCTCTTCAGAGTCTGCACAGAACAATCTTAATTAATTTTATATTCATATAGACATATCACAGATTCTTGACAACTTACATGTACATAGTCAAAGTTTTTCTGATCAAAACCCTAGAAGACAGAATTAAAAAAGTTTTTGTACTAATCAGACCTTTTTTTTTTATAAATTTCTAGAATAAATGTATTTGTGATTTGTCCAATGAATTGCAGACTGAAAGATCCAGAACACAACCCGCTGATTGCGAAATCGATTTTAAAATTTGAGAAAATTACTAAATACATGCAATCGTAAAATAAACACGTCCATTTTTTGTGAAATCAAATTCGAGGACGCGGTTTAGAATCGTCTATTCGCCGAAAAACACACTTGGCCGGTATGACTGGTGAATTGGAAACCGCGGAAATTATTGTCTAACTGGCACACGGCCTGGCGAAAGAAAAACCGAAAGGAAAACACATTCGTCAATAAGGACGACAGACAGGTGTGGAGGGACTGATCCCAGAGAAGGCTCATCTCCGCGTCGTCATCATTATTGTTATTTCAGATTCCGTAACTGACTCTTCTTGAATAAGGTAGAAGTCAAAGAACAAGGCGGTGTCGATTTAAAAGAATCTAAAAATCGCTATGATGTAAGTAGAGAATGAGTGAATCATTCGATCGATCTAGTTAAATACAGTTCGGCAGGCTATGATAAGCTTATTCATCAAGTATACATACATTTTAGTTTTAAAAAGGGAAAGTAATAGGGGCAGCCTGAATCACTTAGTCAGAAGGAATACTATTTTAAATTACTGAGTAAAAGAAACAATCGGCCTTCTTCCTACGCAACTTCTAACTGTGAGGTAACGTAGGCCATTAGAACATAAATATTTTATTTGTAGGCAGTTAGCTCAGTTGCAGCTAAAAAAGTACTAAATTAAAAATCATATTTCTCTGTTTTTATTACTTAGACTAATGAAAGTTGAACATTTTACAAAGTATATCCTATTTTTTCAATAAAAAAATTGTTGGAAGTTCTAATTCCCCATTTGAATAATAAACTACGAATTATGAAAATAAAGTATAACTCAAGCAACTATAAAACTAAGAGTGGTTTTGTCCACTCCTCACTACTAATCTATCCCTAAAATCTCCAGCAACTGCTGCCAACCCTAAAGATGGCGAAATATCTGACAGACCAACCCAGGCAGACCAAAATGATAAATATTTATAACTATTTAGTTCAAGAATAGTGTAGTATAATTACTTACTATTTCTTTTACGGTTCAGACAGCTTTAAGAAGAGAAAAATCGGAAAAGACTCTATAGGCGTTTGCCTGTATTTGTTTTGTCTTTCATTAATTTTATTTGTTGAATTTTTGTTCGTTTATGTGATTTTTTTATTGTAGGGATGGATTCGCAGGATACTTTCTTCTTCAATCAAGTCGATGTAACTTTTATAAATTAAACTTCGTCATGAAGAATTTAAGGAATTTTTATATTTGTGTCATTTTGCCTTACTTATATTCATTTTATTAAGTAGAAGAAGAAGAAAAATAACTTTATTCTGGGACTGGTGTCCCCTAAGAATAATATACATGAAATAAATAAAGGAAGTTCCTTCTATGAAATTAAAAGTAAAATGAGATAGAAATCTTGGCACAATGTATACCAGTAAGGCAGGCTAGAAGAGAAAATTACAAGAATATTAAACAAAAATATCAAATATTAACGTAAGGTCTCTGCTTGGAGGGAGAGGAGGTGATTATACAGGTGGCATTTAAAGGAGGAAAAGGAGGCAGCGTGACGAATGGAAAGGGGAAGGGAGTTCCATAGTTTAGGGGCTCGGGTCAGAAAGGATCTTTCGAAGGTATGGTTGTATGTTTCGGAAGGATAAGATCAATTGGGGATGAGCGGGTGTAACGAGTGAGGAGTTGAATTGGAGGGATTGGGTGATGTAAGGAGGACGACGAGTGTGGAGGACTGGAAAAGAAAGCAACCTAGGAAATACTGTGCACGGAAGGAGGGGAATAGCCAGGAAAGTTGGAAATACAACCCCAACACCCGGGACCCCTGTGGGGTGCCGAACATGAATCTTACACAACAATTATAATACGCTTCAATCGCGCGTTCCCCCCTCCGAGAGACCACCGTATGCCACACAGCTATAATCGAAGAAGGGAAGTATAAGGGAAGATACAAGGAGTTTGCGGGTGGAGAAAGGTATGAGAAGCCAGGACTGACGAAACTGGCTGAGGGAGGCAATGTAATGGCGGGAAATTTGGGAAATGTGAGGATGCCAGGAAAGGTTTTGGTCAAAGACTACTCCTAGGTTTTTAATCGAGGAGCAGAAGGGAATGGGATGGTTATTTAGTATGAGAGGTGGGATGCTGGGGAGGGAATTGAGGAGTTGCCTGGACCCGATAATTATGGCGGTAGATTTGGACGGATTGAGGACTAGGGAATGTTTATGTGCCCATTCGTTGATGGAGTTTAAGTCTTTTTGGATCTAGAGAATGGCCGAGTGAAGATCGGAAGGGTGGAAAGATATGTATATTTGGGAGTCATCGGCATATAGGTAATAGTTAAAGGACTGGATGGAGTCGGTTGATATAAATGGAAAAAAGGATAGGAGAGATGCTAGAGCCTTGGGGCACCCCAGATTTTAGTGGGTGGAAGGAGGAGGTAAGGCCATTGGGAAGGGAGACAGCTTGGTGGCGATCGGTAAGGTAGGAGTGGAACCAACGGATGGTTTTTAATAAGTACATATTTATGAAACGTAATTATGATTAGTAAATGATTTAATCCTGAGGGGTCATTGCCTACAGTCCATACTAAATTATGAGCGACGTCGGCCATAATGTCATATCTATGAATTTGTTGCTTTCAGATACAGTCTACATTAAAAAAGTAGGATTTACATAATTTAAAAACGTTAAATTCGACTTATATAATGCTTCTAACAATGAGGATCCTTTTTGTCATTGAAATTACAGCCAAAAGCTGTATAAAATCACCACATATTACAATAGAGTTCGGGAGAGGTGTAAAAATTTATCCCACTTACTTGCAGATATATTGTTTTCTGGCACGCTTTACATCGACACGAGATTTATATTAAAAAAAATTTCATTATTTTTTTGAGGAATTTTTGTCCTAATACACATTACATTATTTGAAATATAAAAAATATTGAGTATATTAAAAGGTATGTTATTTGTAACTAATAAAGTGATTGGTTTTCTATCATCTTCCATCATCGTTATCCAAAAGTGATGGTTGAAACCTGATTGGAACCAAGTTTCTGAAATTGCCCTATTTTTAAATTTTTTATTGTGGATAAGGACTTCCAAATACCCTTGTTAGCTACTAATGATATGGCATTCCATTGAATTAAATCGAAGGTATTTTTCATACTTTTTTCAGGGAACTGATGTTATTGAAAAAAAAAAACCATTTGTATGTCAGGTTCGAACGCTGGACGCTGGATTCGAACCCGGGACCTTTAACTTACAGAGATGAGCGCCGTGTCAACGCCTAAACCGTTGCGGCCACCGACGCCCCCATTTCATACTTTAAACAAGTGTAAACAGGGAATTTAGTAGCCGACAAACAGTTGAGGTCATCGCCGGCGTGTTTTTACTTCTTTTTCTGGTCTTTCACGCGTAATTTTCATCCTTTAGTCATTTGAGCAGATCAACCCTCGGGGTGCCGGTGTTTTTGAAAAAGCCCATTTTTGATCTGTTACTGTCTCTCTACTTTTATATGAAAACTAAATCGATATCTAAAATGCCAGCCTCTCATTTGTACCTCAGGTTTTCAACTACAGAATAAATATAAAACACACAATACACATAGATCACCACCAGCATAGAAGTCTGGTCACATTCACTCCCCCAGAGAACTCGATATTCCTCGTAGCGGGGTTAAACAACCCCTTCCTTTCACGCTAATAAATTGAATTCATTCCAATAAATCAGCATAAACACAACACAGTCGTAACACAAACATCCCTTCAATCATCAATTAAAAATCTTTATATGTCTGAGGGACCGGAACGGCTATCCGTGGCCGCTGCGTGCCGTGTTGTTCTATTATTCTATTTATATTCGCGGTATTATTATGTCGTCTAGGTTATCTTGTATAATTTCTTTTATTAATGTACCTTATGCACTGATTCGCAAATTACTTTAAAATTAGATTATTTGTCATCCAATTTAACCTCAGGGAGTCCAAGTGGGTTGTGTGGTATAAATCCACCTATGTTCTTCGGGTACTAAGGGGCTATATAACTTTTCGTTAGCGTTTCGCTGTTATTTTTCCGGAGACCGGTTTTGTAGTGTCTGTTTTATTGTCGTAAGGAGTGGTATTTTGCATAACTGGGGGAAATATTGATTTGTCCTTTAGGTCCAGGTTTAGGCCAGCGGTTACCTTGTTGCGGTAGTTATAAAGTTCCGACTTCCGGTTAAGGTTGTTGGTGCTGGCTGGGAACTGCTAACCACCACCGTATTCGACTGACATTGCCCCTTCCAAATTTTCACTATTTCTGGGCTCTGCAAAACACTATTAATGGGAAGCACTCCACTTGTGCATAAAACACTAAAGACTTCATCACTTAACGTGAGAAGTTCTGGGAGGGCGGAATTAAAAAAATACATGGATGATGGCAACAGGTAGTGAAACAAACTGTTGTTCAATAAATTTGTTTCAAGTACCTGAAAATTATTGATTGAATCATAAAACATTACAGATCTGATATTACCCCGGAAACACCGAATTGAGTGAGTCATAATCCCAACTCGGCGCATATTTATGTGCAGAATTGAGCTTATAAAATTAATCAGTCAATCGTTACATGCTAAATCTTTATTAATTTCCAAGTAGTGAAACATGAATAATGTACAACAGTAGACATAAATAATGAAGGCCGTTAGGTATACACAGGTCATGTTAGAATTGCTTCAATTTTGTACATTTTTATGTCATTAGCATGTTACATCAAAGTATTTTAAACGACGTTGTATAATGTAGTATTTATACTAAGAATACTTTTCCCACGATTTGTGCACAAGGCTGATCGTTCTCTCAGTGAGTAAATAACTAATGCCATGCCATTTTTTCCTCTCACCAAGTTTCATATTTTCTTATCGTTTTTAAATTTGAATTAATTTGTGAAAGGAGTGTCACAAGCTTTGTCCCTCGTGTGATTTTAATTATAATCACTATTTAAGGGAAATTTATGTCTGTTTTTGAATGGAGCGGTTGCCGGGCGTGGCATTAGGGGGGCGTGGTATTCTTGAAACGACGACTGCCGAACGGACTGGCAAGGGAGTGACCCTTCCCACAATCGTTTTGTTTACAACCACGTTTACAAACGTTGGGCGTCGTTTCCAATTTTTTTTCATATTCTGTTTTTCGAAATTGATGCTTGTTCATCAGCACAGCAGTTAGAAAATGAACGTCTGGGTAGGAGCGGCGATCCTGCTTGTCCTAGTTGGCCCAAGTAAGTAGATACTACATTCCAAAGACGACATGCCAACCTGTTGATCCTTTGCTTTATAGCGTTATTTATAACAGCCACCTTTCTAATTTAATTCATACTTTGTTATATGCGTAAACTGATTTTAGACGAATCTCAAATTGCGAAGAAATCTGATTAATTAAGCACGTTGGACTGTACTACTCTTACAGTACTACTCTACTAGTAAGCTACTGTTACTCCAAATTAAGAAGTAGCTTCCCAAAATTTAGAGATTAACACTGTTGTCTGTAAATAACAAGAATTGTCCTTATTCAACAAAATATTAAAATTGTACCGTATAAAAAATATTAATTCAGTTCCCTTTCTTAATTTCTTTGTACATGTAAAACAGCAAAATTTTCCAAACAAACATTTGGCCATTCTTCATTTAACTGTTGTCAAATTCATTACATACTTGCCTTTAGATCTTAGTATATATCCAACTCACTGGCAATTTTTTAAAGTTGGTATCTCAGTGAATATTTCCTTGAGAGGGTGTTTTGAATTTTTTTATACTTATATGTTGTTAAACCAGGAGAGTCTTCGGTTTCTGGTGCTGTTATCTTTTTTCTAGATGATTTTTTTGCGTGAACAAATTGAAGAAAAAAGAAAACGATTGATTGATTGATGTTTTGTTTAATGGTGCAGTGATTTGGTCAACTTTGATCATTCTTAAATCGAACAACAAGTGAGAGTAGAATATTTAACTCCCACTTTGTTATATGTGAATTGAGGAGAAATTCACCTTTTTTAAAAATGTTTTTTGACGGGTCTCACATTGCTTTTATAGCCGATTAATTATACACATACTGTAGACACAATTAGCACAGATCATTTTGGTCAACATATCATTGCCGTGTTGGTTCGTCAGATTTGTTTTTACATTTGACACCCTGAAGATGAAGAAATGCTGAAACACATCTGACATCCATCACAGTGAGATAAGATCGAATTGTCACAGATGATCGAAATTACAGGTTCATCACTCTGTAGACCACCATAGATATCTTAAAATTGTCTAATTATACATTTCCAAAAATTGTATATAAAGAAATGCAAGTATTTTTTATTTACTTCATGAAAAAACTGGTTAATGTTGTAACCAGTACAACATTAAATCTTTTTAAAAAGATAGAACAACACACTCACTCCACCATTTATCATTTCTAGAACATTAGTCTGGGTTACATTAAAATTTAAAAAAAAACCTGGGAGAAAAATTTAAGTAAATTAGCATTGAAGCAAAAAGCTTTAATAAAGAATAATTTAATGTAAAAACAACTAACAATTTTTAGACCTAAACATTACTAAATGGTGAAATGCAAGTATTTTTTATTTACTTCATGGAAAAACTGGTTAATGTTATAACCAGTACAACATTAAATCTTTTTAAAAAGATTGAACAACACATTCACTCTACCATATATCATTTCTAGAACATTAGTCCGGAATATATTATAATTTAGAAAAAAACCTGGGAGAAAAATTTAAGTAAATTAGCATTGAAGCAAAAAGCTTTAATAAAGAATAATTTAATGCAAAAACAACTAAAATTTTTAGACCTAAACATTGCTAAACGCTGAAATGCAACCACACGCCAATCCAGTGAGGATAGGCATGAAGCAGATCTCACTACATTTCTGTCATTTTTTTCTAAAAGATATATAGTTTTTTTTAATAATTTAATATAAAAATAACTGGCAATTTTTAAACCTTGACTTAATGCTGAAATGCATCTGGCAGACAACCAGCAAGATTAGGAAGACTTAGGATGATTGGAAATGGCACAACTATAGTTGAATTGATATAAAACCATTCAAGAAAAAAAAGTGACAAAAAATACATTTTATAACCATGTATAAACCCAGCAGTAAAAAAGGTGAAATGCTTTTGGCAGACCTACGCTGGTAGGCTAGGCAGATTAGCATGATCAGCAAAAGCTGCAGCTTCATCACCCACAGAATTCAAGAAGAATCCTCACAAAAGTACTGATGTTTGGTTAATTATTGGCATGCAAAAGCACCCCAAAGATTGGAAAAGGTGAAATGCAACATTTAATGAATTTAAGGGCAATTTGTCCAAATCTTTGTTGAGCACATGTTGGATCTTTGGCATGGTTAAAAATACATAAATGCATAATAAGCCAAAGTCATAAATTGCACATTGACACTTAAGATGGGGAAATAGGCAGCAAAAGCATTTAAAATGTAAACTTTGTACAGATATTACTAAAACATAGTGTCTTATCTCCTTTTTATCTATTTGAAATCCGGTCAATTGCCTGTACAACACAAATTTATATTATAGATCAATCTAATTTTGTATACATACATAAAATTATCTAGCTCGGTTAAAAGGACTATTAAAATACTCATTGGATTCTTTAATAATGTGTAGAAAATAAAGTTTAAGCAAAAAACATGATCTTTTATTGACTCAAAAATTTTTTTGCCTTGTGAACATTGTTATTCTCATTGCTTAAAGATTGTGTGTACCTCTCTAATAGGGTTGGCTATAGGTTCAGAACTTAACTTGACTTTAACATAGTGCTAATTGAAATTAAGAATTTTTTTATATTTTTATTTCCAGGTTTTTCAATCAAATGTTGGGACTGCAGATCTGACTCAGACCCAAAATGTGCAGACCCTTTTGACAACACTAGTGTTCCTATTACGGATTGTGTACAGAAGGATGATCTTGATACGTTGCCTGGCGTCAAACCTACCATGTGCAGGAAAATAAGACAGAAAGGTAATTGAATAAAATACACATTAAAGCGAACGATAAAGTCGTACACAATTTTGCTAAATTTTCAGTACACGGACAGTGGAGATATTTCAGAAGTTGTGCATACCTGGGCGAGCCTGGGATCGAGGGCGACGAGAGGTTTTGCCTCATGAGGTCTGGGACTTATAATATTTTCATGGAGTACTGCACATGCAACAGTAAAGATGGATGTAATTCGTCCTCTATCCTTACAGCTGGCGTCACTACATTTTTATTTCTATTAGCTATGGTACTTTATTCAATTAGATAAACAAAGGCTTAAATACTCTTTTAATAGACTGTTTTTATTTTTTATATTTTTATGAATTAGACCCTAAGACATTTCTGTTCTCTTAGAAAAGAGTTTTGTTAAATCAAATTTTGTTTTTGTAATTGTACAACTAGTTGTTTCAACTTAAGAAAATAAGTATGTATGTAATTATTTTTAATGAGCTAGTCCAATTTGTTAAGCTCAATGTGTTTTCTTGTTTAAAATTATGTGACAATTTTTATAGTATAAATTGTTTATTAACCTCACTATTACAACATTTTACGATAGAAAAATTTTCTAGATTTTATATTACATTGAATTTTTGAGTTTGAGCACTGAACAGAAATATTATTATCCGTCCGAGACTAGTCTTTCATCCAGCTTGATTACATTTTTTACAAAAATAGTTTAAGGAAAGAAATCAAACTCAGGAATTTGGTTCAATAAGCAAAGTGTCACCAAGCAATAACACTTTTATCACATTTAATCTTTATTGTAATATATAAGATATAACTGGTAATATTGTGTAATTAAATTATTGTAACTTTTACTTCCCAAAGGATGTAGGGCATTGCCTATTTGGTGTCTATAATTATCTATGTTTATAAAAGTAATTATATATTTTTATATGTTAATTATTCTTGTTTGAAAGAATAGTTTTGTACTGTTAAGGTAAATACATGTAGATCTGGCAATCTGTCTCTTTTTTTAAATTTTATTAGATATTCCCCTTAAAGAGTAATTCACCATCGAATAAATGAGACTGGGCAATAACTTCACCTAATTATTAAAATATTTGGTTGATAGCAGGACTAAATACATTTCCAATTTTTCAACAAATTATTATTGTTCATTTTAAAGTAATGTAATTACTGTTATACAGGACTGATTTTTTTAAAATGTCTGATTACGTGCTAGGTGTTGCAGAGGTCAAACTACCTTATAATACATTTTTCGATTATTCTTAATTAAAAAGACATGGGGTATGCCGGGATTCAAACCTAATGTGGCAAAAACGAGTCGTGTGCCCATTGGAACTAGAAATCAACAGTTTCTCTGTAATCCCACTCTTCTAATCGCATAGATTTCAGATTATAATACAACTTAATCAAATATGTTTGAAAAAAAGTATGTAACTTATAGAAGGGCTTTATTATAGTAACCAGATAAATCTAAAATGGAACATGAAATGGGGGCAGGAGTCAAAGGCTTAAATTTTAACCTAGCAAAACCTTTAGGACCCACACCATCAATTTTCTAAGCTGAGATCCGTGCAACTCTGTAACAAAATATACTTTAAAACAGGATTAAAAACCACAGATATACATACACTTGAATAAGCCAGGTAGCTCTGAAGACCTATACTCTCCATTAACCACTTTGAGTGAGTAGAAATATTTTGATTGAATATAAAAATATATTTTTTGCATTGTATAAATTCACTTTTTTCCACATCCTACATGTATTTGTTAAATTTAAACAATGTAAATCCCAGGCCCTGAAAATGATCTCAATAAAGATCGAAACGTTGGCACGATAAAGAAAATGTTTTTCTGAAACCTACGTCACACCAGACCACATCTCACGATCTCCGAGTAATCACTCTCTATTAATTCAATACTGGTCTGGGAATGCCTAACTTATCTCCAGCTCCTGAAAAAACGTAATCAGGTATATTTGATATGTGTACCAGGACTTGAGGGGATTAAAGATAACAAACAGGCTGACAAACTAGCAAAAGCACAAGTAGCCCTCACACCCTTTGGACCGGAACTGGGGTCACACTGTAAAGCATGATGATCACACACTGATTGATATCACCAGGTTCAAAACAAAGAAGTTCCTCAATACCAACCAGTAAAACAAAAATCTATCTCTTATTAGAAAAGAATTGAGGAAAATAATAGACCTTTCTTTGGGCATAGATAATAGGCCTTTATACATTCAATTACCACCTCAAGAAAAATTAGTTAAACAGAGACAGAAATGTCAGACTCTGACATGAAGAAGCAGAAGCATTGGAGCATCTCCTCTGTGTCTGCAAAGCATTAGCGCTGAAATGGTACAGCCTCTTCAGAAAGGCATTATTAATTCCTAAAGAAATAAGCATAAAGAAACCATGGAAAGTTTTCGAGATTTAAATAGAGAAGTATCATCCATAAAGTCAAACAAACAGCAAAACAAAAGAACTCACAAAAATAGAATGGTGTGCATACATTTGCACTACTGGGACAATGAAAAAATATACCACAGCTGTATGGAATAAATATTAGGACTAATTCCGCTCCACCAAATTATAACAAGGCAGCAAAGAAGAAAACTATTAATGAAGAGAAAAGAACATCCTATTAAGAGAATATCCATACTCATAGCCCCTAGGGACGATATGAACAATATATTTATATTTAAACAAAACTTCTAGTCCAATCTAATTGAGGCAGGAGGATTTCAGTCCACATCCAAATACTTAAATTCTCTCAATTGGGATTGATTCAATTTGGATGGTAAAAAAATCATCAGGCAGGCATTAAACTCATGTGTCATTAGCTCAAGAATGGTGCAAAATTGCAAAACGAAACTAAAATGATTAGGTGTGTCAAGACAAGGTATCACTCCACTGGGTCCCAGGACACAGAGGAGGAGAGGAAATGAAGAGTGGATGCCCTTGCAAGTGAACCTGCTGATAGGTCCTAAACCCTTTTTTGGTATAAGGATCCAAAGCATCAACAAGCAACTTAGGCAAAAAGACATGACGAAAGTGAGGAAAAGATGGAACTGACTTATTGGACCCCCTCCCCCTCAAAAAAAAAATCCAAAAACCTAGTGAGATTTAAAAAGAAAAAAATATAATGCATCAAAGGAAGCACAAAAAGACTCTGAATCCTAACTGGATTCATAATGGGGCACTGTGGAATGAATGGGCAATTGAGGAAGACTGGTATCAACCAACATTCTGCAGATTCTGTGAACAAGGAAAAGAGACTGAGGTGCTATTAATCCAAGGAGGAAATGCTTCGGGATGAACATTGTAACCATATAAGAAATACAACCACTAAAAACAGGCCTAATAATTTTTTTAAAAATAATTAGGACTCCAGTGCCATTAGGTACAGAACAGGGGATGCAATAATTCTCAAAGGACCCAGTATGCTAAAAAAAATCTGAATTCTTTACAACTACATAAATTCCACAATAGATATTTTAGGTCGTAGTAGAAAAAGGCAGACTTTGGTCCACACTGATCCTGAGACAGGAATTTTTGCTTAAAAAAAAAAAAATACAATGCAGCTAACTTTTTAATCATTTAACTAAGTAACTATGTTGTAACTAAAGAACAAGAGGTTTTGTTCAAACATGAAATTGGTTGCAAGACAAAAACGAATCAATTGACGACCACGTTATAAAATGAAGTTTCTTTCAAAAGGCCGAAATTGTTTTCTGATCGGCTATAGTTTCTTCCGCGGGAGTAATGCAATATATTAGCGTGTGTCGTGCTAGAAACAGTTAGTGCCAAGTATACTGACATGACAGGACCTTAAAATCAGCTAATTCTTTAAATAAAAATTCACATTGATCCTCATAGGCAGAAAACGGAAGTCCAAAGCTACCATGGCAACAGGCATCAACAAAACGTTCTCCGCCGTGTCATATGACTCACAATATTCAGTCCAATGGATACCGTGCAGAAATAAACAATATTTCTCGCCAACTTTTTTTTTGTTTTTCTTTGACAGTTTGTTTTTTCGTTTTTGAGAAGTGAAATGGTCCAGGTGGACATCAACAACGTGCTCGCCGTCAGCCCGGAGGAGCTGAGCTCCCAGGAAAAAGACGACCTTTACGAGAGCATAGTCTGGCTGGATTTGGAGCCGGATCTACCACAGGATAAACTAAACAGATTGTTTCTGATAACTAAGGAAGTTCTCAAGTACAAAGGAGAACAGGTACTTAAGCTAAAATTAAATGCCAATTGGAAAAAAAAAAAAATTAATGCCCACTTGTTCCCAAAATTGTAAGGTATTCTATAATTTTAGCTCATATTAGAACCCAATAAACAGCGAAAGTTTAATAGAAATCAAAACTATAATTATTTCCTGTTTCAGTAGAATAACAACAAACATTGTTAGAAATTTAAAAAAATAAATATTTTACCAATTTTGCTGAAGCTTAAAACAACAGCTTCGGTTTTTTCCCCACAACCATAATTTTGTAACGGTCAATATAATTACATAAAACAACAGCACATAAAATATTCAATGTAGAACACGTTGGTCAAGGTTGAAGAGTAAATTCAACCGTTTACATTTTGATGCTATAGTAATAAGTTAAGTTTAATAAGTTTTAAGTTTTTTTAGTTTCAGTTAAGTTTACCACGTTGTTTTGATAATTGCTTAATGTATACCCCCTTGCAACATCGTTAGCAAAGAAAGTACGCAATCTTAACAAAATGCCGGGAGGGAAGTTTTATTTAAACATTCTGATTATTAAATATTAATCCATTTATGTTTAGTGGTCTAATTGACCAAATTACTTCTTTCAATTTATTATTCTTTTTATGTAAGGTTTGGTTGAGATGAATAACCTAGTGTCACGAGTAGGATTCGAACCCACGACCTTGGCTTATATTTTACAAGTAGATTAAAAAGTTCGAGGAACCTGAATGAATTAATATCAAAAAACGAAAGAAAGAAACAAAAAAAAAGGAAATAATCAAAGCAGGGGAGAATAGAAAAAAATTAAATTTAGGATTTACATCATAGTCTCAAACGGGAGAAACCAACAATAAAAAATTAACAAATGAGATCTGAATAAAATTAGTACCCGAAAATAAACTGCTCAAAAATTAATAGGAATATTGCCAATTTCCTAGTATTTACTTTCCCTATTATTTTTATTTAAGTTTTGTTATAAATTGCATTAAAATTTATTATAAATTATTGTTTTTTACACAAGAAAAATTTAATAAACCGATTTTGAAAAATAAAAGGTTTTAATTCTATAATTTCGTTTATTGGACAATAATATTTTTAAATAATTAATGCTGTGTATCTGTGTCTGAGTATCAGTTAAGCATACTGTTAATAAGGTTATCACTAATTTCATAAAGAATTTCACTCTGTGGATGTTGCAGGTGCAGGTTGTGGATGGTGAACGAAAAGCCTTCTCCGCAATGCATCCCACATATGCTCAATGGGATTGAGGTCTGGAGACAATGGGGGAAGGGCAGATGGGAAATTCCTACCTTTTCTAAGCATTGATGAACAACTCTGCCTCTATGAGGTTGTCATCCAGAAAACCCCTGCCAATGAGATCCCTGGTTTAAGGGATGCATTCCTTGATAAATTCTTAGACATATTGGACTGCAGTGAGGTTGCCTTTACCAATATGGAGTCCAGTTTGTCCTCCAGTGTAAATCCCAGCCCAGACCAAATCACCGCCTCCTCCAAACTGCACCGAGGGAGCATGAACTAGGCCATTGTATGCATCCCCTGTTCTCGGTAGACTCTTCGGCGCCTGCTATCATTATACAGACCGAAATGCGACTCATCAGTAAACATAACAGCAAGAAGGTCCGAAGTATTCATGTGTCGCATCTATTAGTACATTTCAGTGTTTTCTAAAGTCCAGTACATTAGGCAAAACGAACTTATAAGAAACTTAACAGCATCTAATTGGTGTTTCCTTCTAGGCGCTCGCTGCACCAAGTTGTTGGTGGCAGGCTGTTGCTGCAAGTCATCTCAAATGGCATATGATGTGAGGACAAATTCTCATATTCATAATCGTTTGTGTTGATGCCGTCCTAAAACATTTGTACTTCATTTACAATCTGGTGAACACTATGGAAAGGGTTCTGTCTTGCAACAATGACAATATTTCTGTCCTCCCTTAGCGTCGTAATGCACTAAGATCCACTACCAGGCCTCCTATTGTCACTTCCAGTCTCTCAGAATTGGGCTAAAGCCCGGGTGACCTACTGCCTCTGTGATATCCACTTGCCAGTGACAATCACTCATTCTCACAATAATATTGCAAACTTCTGGTTCTAGACGATGCCTTTCCATGGTTAAAGATAATTAAAATGGAGAAATGAAGAGAAGGTGTTTGGTTATAAAATGAGTGATTTTTCATGTTTACTATTTTTCAGTAAATCCATTATTAAACATGGGGATTAACTTTTGTTTGTTTTTCGTTTGTATTTTCTATTTTGTTTTATCCAACTAGCAATTGATTAATTCAATTAAAATTAATAGAATAAGAATAAATTACAAATATCCCTATTCATTTTTGAGCAGTTTAGATTAGCAAATAAATATATAAAAATCAACTGGTTATAAGTGCAGAAAATAGAAAACAACCAAAGAAGGGGAGATGAGAAAGAAGAAAGGGATATGCATTGTAGACAAGAATGGAAGACATCAACTAGATATAATTAACAGTTTGATGATGAGGGAAGAAAATTAGGATCCGAACATGCATTAACAAATAAAAATATAAAAATCAACTGGTTGAAAGTTCAGTTTAAAAACCCCCAAGAAACATAAATAAAATAGAAAACAATCAAAGCAGAGGAGAGGAGAATAAATAATGAAGTATACATCACAGACAAGAATGAAGGAAACCAACAAGATAAAATTAACAAAACCTGATGAGACAACTGAAAAAAATTAGGACCCGAAAACGCATGAACAAATCTACATATTTATAAAACAGTTCCTTGGCTGACAAACAATGCACAGAGCAAACCCCTGGATATAAAGGACTGAAATTTCGACAGTGCATCTATAATGACATGGATAGACACTAAGAAAGGATTTTTTGATATTTGATACATATAAAACTGTTTCAGTTATGACAGTTCAGTTATAGACAATTTTTTACAATGTATAGACTGAAGTGAACGAAGAATTCGAAAAACGAGTCATATTAGAGAGCCATACTAGCACTCTGCATCACATTAGAAAGGTACATTAAAACAGTCCTGCGTGGACGAAGTCATGGGTAAAAACTAGTACAAATATAAACATCTACTGGTTGAAAGTTCATTTAAAAACCAAGAAACTAAAAGGAAAAAATAAAGAACAGGAGATAAGAAACCAACAAGATGAAATTAACAAATCGTAAAAAGAGGATAAAATTAACAAACTTAGGACACGAAAATACATTAGTCAATCAACTGGTTTAAAGATAATTTAAAAATCCAAGAAACATAGAATGTTTGAAATACTCAAACAAAATATAACAATTTAACAACAAGGATTACCTTCGGGGTAGGATAAGCTAATCCCCAACCGGTAGGCTTTAGGCAGAGCTGGTTGAGACCCGTAAGGGAGAGGAAGAACTTTTTACTCAACATGGTCAAAGGCACATCTTTTTTTTTTTTTTTATTGTTAATGGCAAGGAGTTACATATGGCACTGATAATTTTTTATATTTTATTTCAATTTTAATACACTTATTTTAAAAGGTCGCTGTTTTAATTTATTAGGATCAGGTCCTGATTTTGCTTTTTTTTAAATTAAATTGTTTGAGTAAAGTCACTAATATTTGTTCACACCTGTGAGTGTCAAGAGTTGCTAAATGTGAAGGGGATCCACACAAAGATCGCAATAAAAAGGGGATGAGAAAGAAGAATATTAAAAACTATATATTCAGCTTATTATTAAAATGTGTTAATTTTTACAGTTATTTCTAGGATTTGCTGGATATCACTTAGTATCATACTCAAATTGGCATACTTATTAATAAAAGAAATCCTATAACAGTAAATATTTTTATTTTAAAAACTTATTTGTCTGAAAAATTTAATTTGATTTTGAAGGGAAATCTGTGTTTGGACTTCTCAAAAATTACTAATCCAACTGATTATGTTTTACAAATATGTATATATTTTGCAACATATTTTGCATGCTAATGTGAGCAGCAATCAAATTTTTCTAATTTCAATGGTATTATTTGCAATGTTCGCAATCAACATTTTACATTATAGACTTTACATTTTTTTATCTGAACTTTTTTGTTACCCTTATAACCCAATAATTTGAGCAACTTCAAAATGACAAAGAAATGGCTAAACTTTCTTAAAACTCTGTCATTAAAATCAATCATATTGTTTAAATTTTTTAGATATAATGAACTAAGTTTAACTATAGATCTGGAAACTTATATTCAGAACATATCAAGTTATTTAAAAATCTATCTTGTCTATATTACAAGAAGTTTCCAGTGGAAAAAAAGTTCCTGATAGCCTTTATAAAGAGCAAAAGCGAAAGTGCAATTCATTCCAACTAAAATGCATAGGCTGCTTAAAAATGAATAGGGATATTTGTAATTTATTCTTATTCTATTAATTTTAAGTAAATACATTATTGTTGGCAGGATAAAACAAAAAAGAAAACACAAACCAAAAACAAACAAATGTTAATCCTAATTTTTTAATAATGGATTTACTTATGCATGAAGATTACACATTTTGTAAAGAAACATCTTTTCTCCATTTTAATCCAGTTGTGTTCTCTTTTAATAAGGAAAGACATAATCTTGAACCAGGAGTTCACAATTGTGAGAATGAGTCATCAAAGTCACCGGCAAGTAGATATTGCAGAGGTAGTTGGTGTTTCTGAGAGCGTGATCTCCCAGGCTTTAGCCCGATTCTGAGAGATTGGAAGTGCCAATAGGAAACCTGGTAGTGGATCTCAGTCCATTACGACCATGCAAGATAGAACCCTTTCCATAGTGCCCACCAGATCCTATATGAAGTACAAGATGTTTTGGCAAGGCCTTTATCAACACAAATGATTCATAATGCCCCGAAGTTGGCATCACATTGTATGCCCCTTTAAGGTGACCTGCAGCACAGCCCACCACCAGCAATTCAGGAGAATATGGTGCAGTGAGCACTTAGAAGAGAACACCAATTGGAATGCTGTTATGATTAATGATGAGTCACATTTCTGTCTGTATAGTAATAGCAGATGCCAGGGAGTGGTGCAGGAATCTACATACCAAAATTAGGAATCAGCATCTCCTCCCGTCTTGGCAAAAACACCTCCGTTTTTCAGGCCATCAATGTGTGTTGTAGAACACTTATGGAAAATAAAATTATGGGAAAAGATATTAAAATCTTTTCTGACAGTCAGGCTAGTCTTAGGGCAATACCAAAAAATTTGTCAACCTCACATTGGAGGAAATTATAGATCTTATCAATAGGATCTCTTTCAGGTTTGAGAATAAGGTGACCCTTATTTGGATACCAGCACATAAAGGACACCATGGCAATGAAAAGGTGGATGGCCTAGCCTTAGAAGGTTCTAATACTGCGTTTGTCGGGCCACAACCGGTATTACCTCACTCTATGAGCGCAGCGAAAGAGAGTATCTATAACTGGGGCATGAAACAATTCCTTAGGGAGTGTAATTTATCCCCCGGACACAGGCAATCGAAAGAGTTTGTTAAGGCGATCAAACCAGTAAAATCGAAATGGCTATTCTCTATCTCAAGGAAGGGAATTAGGAGGCTGATAGGTATTCTGACGGGCCACTGCCCACTGAGAATACACCTCTTCATAATGGGTATCCTACCAGATCCCTGTTGCTGCTTCTTTTGAAATAAAAGAAGAAACGGCAAGGCACTACCTCGCAGAGTGCGATAGGTACGCTAGGTCTAGATTCGAGACTTTTGAAGGAGAGAACATCACCAAATCACTCCCCGAGATTAAATGGTCCAAAATCTTGGGGTTTGTGAATAGGTCCAAGAGGTTTATGCAGGACCCATGAACCGACCAAGTCCCAGACCTTTTAGGGATGGGGTACGAGTCTACCCAGGCATTTAACCCCTTGGGTCTTGGTCGCCCACTCTGCATAATATAATAGCAGATGCCAAAGGGCCTACTGAGAACAGGGGAGGATTACAATGCCCCATCGTGCTCCCTTCAGTGCAGTTTGGAGGAGGCGGTGTAATTGTCTGGGATGGGATTTACACTGAAGGACAAACTGGACTGCATATTGTTAAAAGCAGCCTCACCGCAGTCTGTAATGTCCAAGAAATTATCGAGGAATAAATTCCTCAAATCTCATTGGCAGGGATGGGGACCTCATAGAGCCAAATTTGTTAATCAGTGTTTAGAAAACCTGGGAATTTCCCATCTGCCCCTTCCCTCAGTGCTTCTACACCTCAATCTCATTAACACATGTGGAAGTGTGTTGCAGAGAAGACTTATCGATCACCATCTGTAGCAGGTTGACCTGTGATAACCGAGTGCAGCGTTGTAATATCCATAGAATGAATATAGTCCTTATGAAATTAGTGACAACTAATAGTATGTCTAACAGGTGCACAGGCTTTAGAAAACAGATGACATTATACTCCGTTTTAATTGTTTAAAAAATTATTGTGTTCAATAATCAATATTCCGGAATTAAAAAATCTTTTATTTTGTTATTATTCAAAATCCCTTAATTAAATTTTTCTTCAGTAAAAAACAATAATTTAATAAATTTTATTGCAATTTATAATAAAAATAAAATAAAAATGCTAGAGAAAGTAAATACTACAAAATTGGTAATTTATCTATTCATTTTTGAGCAGTTTATGTTAATAGACTCCTAGTTATCCCTCTCTTCTAAACACATTCATTATATAACTTAAACAACTTAAATTTTATTCTGAGTTTAAACGATTTCTACTTGATCCATCCCCAACTTAACTTTTATTCTGAGTTTAAAAGATTTCTACTTGATAGTGTCCTATATATCTAGCTTTATAATTATACTACAATTAATTAAGGTTTTTTAGGTGCGATAAAAAAGTCAATGGCACGAGCGGGATTCGAACCCACATTCTTCGGCTTGATACGCCGCTGCTCTACCACTTGAACTATCGTGACCTCGATCCACTGGGACACTAACTTCCCACCTCAACCTCACCTTTTGAATTTTCCCTCCTTTTTGCCATTTTTCAAATGTCGTGTAATCGGATTGGATTCTCGGCGACAAATGCGGTTGAGATTGGAAGTTAGTGTCCGAGTGGATCGAGCCATCGAGGTCACGATAGCTCAAGTGGTAGACAGCAGAGTATCAAGCCAAAGATCGTGGGTTCGAATCCCGCTCGTGCCATTGACTTTTTTATCTCAACTAAAAAACCTTAATTAATTGTAGTATATTAATTGGTCAAGAGGACCATGAAATTAGTGACTTTATAATTATGTTTTTTTCAAAAGGTCAAAATTACTTTTTTGATTAAAAGTAAAGTTTCTGCTATGACAGCCTCTTTTGAATGTATAACAAGAAAAATCTGCATGCTTCTAATAATAATAATAATTATCAAAAAGAAAGCCAGATGTTATACGATGGCTTAAACCTGAATACAGCACCTTTGACCAGCAACAAGTTGTGGTCTACGCCAACATGTACCACATCCAGGCTCTAGACGGTTACATGCTCATTGCCCAGTTGGCCTGCCATTTTCTTGCCTTAAATACCTTGCCCAGAGACTGGTTCTTAACAATAGAACCCGGTGCACAGTGGGACAAGGAATTACCATTAATATTTTTTAAAAACTGCCCAACACAAATATACATACATTCTGTGGTTTTTGTTAAACCTAGTTAAAACTATGATAATGGGTGGAAAAATATTCAGTAATAAATAATATTTTTGAAAAAATAAATGACTGTACTTTCTTTTCATTGATTAGGTTAAAATTCATTAGTATATTATACAGATAAGCATACTGTAAATTAAAAGTATAATAATATTTTAGGTGGAGTCTTTGCTTGCAGATTTAGATGTACTGGCATCTAACACTGGTAATTCATTCGCTTTATTTATTTATTATTATTTCCTTTAATTCATGATTTGTCCTAGGCATTGGAGTTGATGACATGAGAGATGAGTTGGTCAAAGCGAGTAAACAGACTGAGCAACTTGTTGAGGAGATCCAGCTTAAAGAGAAGGATCTTCTCAAGGAGAAAGCGCAAGTCGAAAAACTCATGGCTGACGTTGCAGAGTTGCAGAAAGAAAAAAATGAACTCAGAAGGGAAATAATTCTTATACAGAATGAAGCTCAGACAGGGCTTTCTTCAAGTCTCAATGATGATAACACTGAAGACATTGCTCAAATCAAAGAAACCGTGCAATATAAGAACAAACACATTCTTCAACTCTTGAGCGATACTGAGGTTGTTTATTACTTTAATTTTCATTATGTATTTGGCACTTATTTTATACTGTATTTAGGTGTTGGAGAAAGAAAATGAAATGCTGACTACAAAGTTGAATGCCATAAGACGTGAATTGGGAGAAGCGACTACAAATTTAACAAAACTCTCAGGAGAAAATATTTCTCTCAGATCTTCAAATTATGAATTGCAAGGTTTTTATACCTAAAAATACTTATTTTATTTTCAAGTTAATTGGTTTGGATTATTTTTGCTTAGAAAAAGTTACATTGCTTGAAGAAAGAAATCAAGGTCTGAGCTCACAAGTGTCTGAACTTGTAAGTGAAAAAAATAGAAGGGATTTGCATTTAGACCAGTTAATCGACGCTTTAGAAGAACGGGTAGCAAAATGGCAGGTATGTATAAATTTAATTTTGTAAATATATATCAAACTAATATTATCATATTTACAGGATGTATTTTGGTATAAAGAAAATGAGATTGCAGAGTTGAAAGAAAAACTAAATGAAATGGTGCAATCTTCTGAGCCTAAAACATCCACACAGTTTGCAACAAACTACACAATATTGGCTAAAGTAAGGCTACTTTTTGTTTTTGTATTTTTAATAGTAATTTTTTTAAACACTTTTGTAGACAATTGAGCAACAAGAAGAGCTGATTGAGCATCTTAAAGGCCAGTTGAAACAAGCAGGTGAAGATCTTAGCAGAAGTACAAATGAAATGCTTCAACTGAAAAAGAACACTGAAGGGTGGGTACATCTAATTAATAATACTTTATACATATTTTATCATTTAACCATAAAATTATTTCATTGTAACAGAGAAGTGGAAGAGGAAGAGAGGAAAACAGTTGAACATTTGACAGAAGAGTTGCACAAAGCGAATTCTCAACTTCTTTTTCTTCAGGAAAAAGTGAAAGATGCTGAACAGGATGCCCAATTCAGAGCTGAAGAGGTAAAAAGTATAATTTAATATTTCAATTAATTATTCTTTTTATCTAAGGTCTTGGTTGAGATGAAATAGTTAGTGTCATGAGCGGGATTTGAACCCAAGACCTTTGGCTCAATACACTGCTACTCTAACCCCTTCAGCTATCATGACTTTGAACATGTGACAGTCACGAATTCATGATAGCTGAAGTGGTTAGAGCAGCGATGTATTGAGCTGAAGGTTGTGGGTTTGAATCCTGCTCGTGACACTTTTTCATCTCAACCATGTCCTTAGATAAAAAAAATAATTAATTGAACTATGTGGTGGTTAGTGACCGTTAGTCAATGATTATTCGGAGCACTCTCAACACGACACGCAAGAATGTCACAATTACGCAGAAAAAAACACTTTGAGCCCTGAAGATGATCTCAATAAAGATCAAAAAGTTGGTTCGATAAAGAAAATATTTTTCTAAAACCTATGTCACACCAGACCGCATCTCATGATCTCCGAATAATCATTGAACTATTTAATATGGTCAATTAAGACTACTAAACATATATGGATTAGCATAATTTAATGAATAAATTATGGTAGAGTTTTGCAATACTTCTTGTTTAGATGACAGAGTTAATAATTCAATTGAGAGAATATGAAGAAGGAGTCTATGGACTAGCAGAAGCGAGAACTGAAGTGAAGGAATTGAAGAAACAAGTAGCTGTGAGGGACAAGCAGATACTTACTTTGGTCCAACAACTCAACAACAGTGATTTAAACCTTGCAGAAAGGTATTTTGTTGTTACTGTAGTTTTCAATTCCAGTTTTAACAAATTTTATTTAAAGGGAAAGTGAATCTTCCCTGATAGAACTTGATGAAAAAACAAGCAACGCTGAGTTGAGAATCCAGCTAAATCAGATTCAACAGACTGCTATTAATTTAAGTGTTCAGGTAAATTTTGTTGTATTTTCTTACACAAAAATTAAATAAATAACAAAACTTTATTCCTAGAATTTTGATCTGAAAGCTCAAGTGTTAAGACTGAATGAAGAACTGAATGCTAAAAAGACTGAAGAAAAAGTAGAAATCGCACCTAAAAAAGAAGAGACAAAAGATAGTGTTGTTCAAAGCGATAATGGATGTAAGTTAGAAGTTTTATTTGCCAAATAATTTCTCTAAATAACTGTAATTATTTCTGATATGCATGAATGAAACAGAATTTATTAGTAGTATTTAATTATTTTTTTAAAAATAGATATAATATAACCACTATGTAATAATGCACTAATTCTATAATTTATAATTGGCCATAATATTTTATTTCTTAACAAATGCAGCAATATAAAGTGATTTTAATGATAACATTCTTTTGGTTAAAATGTGTACAAATAATTTAATTTTCTAAAGATATCCAAGAGATAGAAGAGAAGTATAAAGCTCTAATTGGAGAAAATGAATCTCTTCGAAAGGGACTTCATGAAATCATGGAAAGCATCAAGTTTCAAGATGGTAATATAATTCTAATGTTTTATACAGGTACAATGAAATCTCAATAATTATCTTTCAGGTCAAAGCAAAGTGTCAATAGAATCAGAGTGCTTGGAAAAGTTGCTCGATGCTCTTGATTCGAGGCATGTCAGTGGATGGTACCATCCAGCAATGAGATTGCAGGTCGCTTTGAACAAACTTCAGGGAAATAACGATGCCCTTAGGCAGCAGTTGAGAGAGACTAGGTTCAGAGAATGTTATTTCCAAGCAGAATTGCAAGCTGCTTTTCTTAAGATTGGTGAACTTGAGGGAAGGATGTCTCAAGCGGATGTCAACGGCTTGCCACCAGTTCCTGCCCCAAGGACAGTCATGGTATGAATATTATTCGAAAATTAATATTTTCTAAGTGAAAATGATTAATATTGGCAAATTAAAAATAAAGGCAAATACTGAAGAAGAACAAGTAGAAACACCTGAAAAGGAAGAAAAAACAGAAATTGAGGAAAATGACATTGAAGATGAGCCTAACAAAGAACAAGAAGAAATCACAAGTGAAATAATTCAACCAGTAAAACCAATTTATGTTGAAAGTAGCACACAGACTGAAACTTCTCCTCCACTCAGTAAAAAAGATTCTGAAGAAATTAATGAACAAATCTCAGCCAAATCGTAAGATTATATTAAACTCAGGATATAATTTTCTTTACTAATACAAAAACTATTTTTAGAAGTAGAAAATCAAGTGTGACTGAAACAATAATAGAGGCTGCAGAAATTATTCCGCATAGCGAAAAGAAGCCAGTTTTGTAAGTTGGTTATTATTATTATAAAATATTGTTAACTTTGTTTTTTAATAATAAATTTTTAAGGTCACGGCAGTCCAGCGTAAAGAGTTTGAGTGAAAACGGCCAGAAGAATGGTATTGAAAAATCTCTTGAAAGAAAAAAATCGTATGCATTTAAACAACAAAATTGTTTTTGAAAAATCTAAATTTAAACTGTAATTAACATTTAAAATATAATAATTTAAGATCTGAAGTGGTGCTTGTAAAAGATTTTGATCAAGAAAAACACAAGGAAATGCTTGATGCAGTGATTGAGCAAATGAGGTCTAAGACAGAAAATGTTTTAGAAGAACTGAATGAAAGCAAAGTATACATCTGATGTGTCTCTTTAGAAATAGATTATTTAGAATTATTTGTTTCAGAATCAGATTTTTGGCGATGTTAAAAGCATCATAGATAAAGTGAATGAACATTTTGAAGCTTTGAAAAAAGAACCGATACCGATTGCACCTGTTGAAATGGTATGGTCCCTAACTGCAATTCTTGAAATCTTAAGATAATCAATCTGTTTTTACTTAAAAACAAATAAATAAAAATTATAAAAGATATATTTTTAATGTTTAGAAAGAAATTAAAGAACACGAAGAAAAGATTACACATTACGGAATGGAACTTGAAAAACTTAAAGAAGGAATGGAAGAGAAGGAGAAAACTGTGACATCTCTGCAAGCTGAGATTGATGACTTGAAGAAAAAATTGGAAGAATCAAAAAAAGCTGTTAAAGCGCAACAAAACAATAAAAAAATTATTGCCCTGAAGGTTCATCAATGTTATAAATAATTTTAAATTTTTGTTTTTAATTTTTTTTTAATGTAGGAAACAGTGAAAGGCCTTCAAGCGATAGTCCAACAGAAAGACAGTGTTATAGAAAGGTGTGAGTTCATGCTTCAAGAGAACAGCAAAGAATACGAAAAGCTTCTTGATCAGTATAATCAGTTAGAGGCGAAAGCCTTGCAAACACCATCAAGGTTTGATTTTCATGTGTAACAAAATTCACCAACAAGAAAATACATAAAACCATATTTTTCAGAATGCAACTTTCCAATTCCAAAGCTGTTTCTGTGCTAATGGAAAAATGGGTTTCAAGAGTACAGGCCCTAGAAACTGATATACACGAGTTGAATCAACAATTGCACCTTACTGCTGACTCATTGATCAAATCAAGAACAGAAACAGAAAAGTGGAAAGAAATAGCTGAAAGGTTTGTTTAAACAAAGATGTAAATAACAAAAGTGATGTGACTTGTATCATATTTCTTAGCCTGCAACAAAAGGGTAATGATGATGAGCCACCAAACAAAGAGGATGAAATTGATGTGTTAAGGGGTCAAGTGAAGGAGCACAAGGTATAAGAAATATCCCAATAAATAAATTTATTTAAAAAAACTAACTATAAAAATTTTCTATTTTAGTCAACAATAGAAGAGCTTAAGGCAAAGCTTAGACTGGAAGGAAGCAAGTATAAAAAAAAGGAAGATGAGATGAGAATAAAAATCAAGGATCTTGAGACTGAAAATCACAAAATTAAGCATTACCAAAATTTAAGGTCAGAGCAATGTTATATTTCAGAAACTTTATATAAACTTTAAGGTATCCTTTTACGATCGTAGATATCCAAAATCTCCTCATAATGGAATAACTGCTGCAAAAAAGGAACTGATACTCATGGATAAAATAAAAGAGCTTGAACAGGAAATTGCACTAGCGAATGAAAGACAAAAGGCGATTATACAGCAGAGAAAAGAAAGAGTAAAATTTTATTTCACTCAACCATTTTTTTTTTAATCTAATGAAATCAACATATTAGTGTGCGGATGAAGTTGCAAAGTGGGAAGAAAAGAAGAAATTGCAGACATCAAATGAAAAGCTGCGCAATGACCTGAAAGACCGTAACTTTCAGCTTGAAGAACTTGAAGGGCAGATCACAAGGCTTAAACAGATCATTACAAGAATGGAGAGAGAAAGAATCGCTTTGCAAAGGAGATTGAAAGTCAGTGAAGGTAATCAAAATTAAATATTTATTAAGTTAGTTGTTGGTACAAACAGCTATGGTCATCAGTAGTACTCTGCACATAAAATATATCTCCATCTGCCTTCTTTCTCATGTTTTAATCAAATATTTATTGTTATCTTTTATCTATTGATGTGAAAATATTCTGTATTAATTATTTTTAAAAACTTGAAAAAGGTATGCTCACAAAGAATTTACTCAATTTCAAAGACGAGGAGGAAAAAGAAAATACCGAATCAAGACTTGGTATGACGACACCAAGGTAGGAGTAACTTTTATAATTATAATTTATAGAAACTTTTAAACCAATATATTTATTGTTTCAGGTCAGATTCATCATGCAGTGATGTTCCAGAAGTATGTACAACGAAATTGTTTTAAAAAGATACTTTTTATACTCCGAGGTTCATATAACCTCGTAGTTGAAATACCATCATAAAATAAATAAAAATACATCTTTGTTTCAGAAAATCAACTTCCAAAGCAGAAAAGATTTGATTAAAGTAGTTGCTGGCCTGAGAAAAGTTGTTGCTAAATTGAGAGTACAACATTCCAACTATGTACAAAAGGTACTGGTATTTTTACATTGTTAAAAATCGAAGTCAGTAATTTTTTTTTTAAGGATTACGTGGAGCAGCTACAAAAGGAACTACAAAAAATGGAGGAGAACTATCTAGATGCTGTAGAAAGAGCGCTCGCACTTGAAGAACAGCTGAAGGAATCTGAGGCAAGATTTTGTAGTCAGACTTACACTGGTAAACTTAGCAGTAGTTTAACACCAACTTAATTATTAAACATACATATTGAAACTTTTATTTTATTTTTTAAAGTTGATTCCCAAATGGCCCCATCGGGATACATACTACTGAAGGAGCAGCTCAGTCAGAAATGTGAGCTGCTTGGCAAAGTTAAAATTTTGCTGCAAAGAGCTATGATCAGGGAAAAACAGTTGTTACAGCAAGTAAGTATTTAATTTACCTTTTTTTATAAATAAAGTCCTCTCATAAATACAACAGAGTCAAATGTTACAGGTAACTCTTCTAGAAAAACTTGTCCCTCCAGAAAAACTGATATATCTCCATGATGCAGAGCGTGAACACTAAGAAGGATGTATTTAGTATTTGTACATAACTAGACCAGTGTATATTTTCCACTTACACCTTCATAGAATTACAGTTTCTTTTTATACATTATAATTTTGTGCTTTTATATCGCATCATAAAAAGTCTGTAGCATTTTTGGTAGTTAATTCAATAAAATTTCAGGTGGTACTTTAAACAAATTTAATCAACAATATACGAACAATTTTGTTCCACTAACTGTAATCATATTTCATGTAATTTTGTAATTCCATCCTCCCAGAACTTTCAGGTTTTTGAACACAACTCCTCGATATTTTGTCTTCAGTTCTTAAGTGAAGTAATGTTTTTCCGATTAATATAGTAGTTTTACACAGTCTAAAAAACTCTTTAGGGGACAATGTCAGGTGAATACAGCTAGTAGGGTAGCATAAGCATAAAATAATGAATAAGGAACCCATATCTCAATTTGACAAACACATATGACTATCTAGCTGCCGTTAAAAAGTAAAAACATATTTTTTCAACTGAATTTTGTCAACTCCCTTTAATATTTCGGTGCAATTTTTGTATTATGTAATAGTAATATATTGACATCCCTAGTAATAATGGTAAATTGTGGTATACTTAAAATAAAGAAAATAAAACATTTTATTGTTGCAATAAATTCTGATTACAATAAAAACTGAACAATATATTTTTGTATTTTTTATATTCTCTTGTTACACTACTTTGTACATAAAATAATGTCTCATAGGTAAATATTTATGAACACTTCTCTTTTTTGTATTTGTCGTAGCCCAGCCATCCACCATCATAGTTGAGCAAGCTAAAAAATAAAATTCAATAAATAAAGCAATTCAGAGTAAAAAATGAAGAGAAAAATAATTAATTAATTACTTTGTATAACCAAGTTTTTCTAGGCACTGGTAAGCATCAGTGCTCCTTTTCCCGGAACGACAGGACACGATAATTTTTGTATCCAAATCCGGCTTTTTCTTTCCATATTTGCTTAAAAATTCATCAGGAGGCAGTTCCATAGCGGCTTTCACAGTTCCTACTAGAAAATTCATTCAATAAAGTAATTGTTTTTATAAAATTACAATGATAGGTCCTCACAAGGGATATTAACTCCACCAGGGATGATACCCGTTTCACTAATTTCGTTTGGCTCTCTCACATCAATTATTAAAGCATTGACCGAAGGGTCGGACATTTTTTCAGCAAGAGCAAGCAGCTCTTCAATTGCAACTGTCTTCGTTTTTTGTCCTTCTGCCATTGCTAAGAAACAAAGAAGTAAATCAGATGAGGAGAATTAAGACAATTCATTGGTACTAAAAAAATGTTAAGGGCTATAATTTTATTGGTGTCTTTTTACTTTTAAAATTATTATACAAATATAATTTTATATACACAAAATTTGAAATAAAATTTTTTATTCGGAATTTCGAAGACTGGGTTTGAATCCCATCTGTAACATTGACTTTTTATATAAAATTTCAATGAAACTCCTTCTCATTTTATTTTGGCTGTTGTTGATTCGTGTGAGGGAGGCAGGTATTGAACTTCTTTTTTTACTTTTTATTGGTATCTAATTCATTAGGATCTTTCCGCTATGCCTTACAGCAGCACAGAGGTTATAGCTAACAGAGGACTTTATACACATTAATTGTTTAATTATGGTGTCCAATAAACAAAATTAGGGAATTAAATTTTTTTATTTTGTTATTTTTCAAATCCCTTAATATATAATATAAATAAATTTTTATATTATAAGTAAATAATGAAACTACTTTTCAGTAATAAAAACAATAATTTCTAATAAATTTTAATGCAATTTATAATAAAAATAAAAATAGTAGGGAAAGTAAATAATACAGAATTGGTAATGTGGCTATTTTGCGTAGTTTGCAGCACCTGTGGAGTTTGTCCACCTCTCATTTTGATTTTTGTAGACCTATTCTGAAATGGAGGATGAGATTCAAGGCCTACATACAGTCTTGTAGATTCTCCTCTGGCTGGTTTGGTTTTTCATTACCTAGGCCTCCTTTGTGGCTTGGCACCCAAGGCTGTTTCCATAGGTTTTGCAGATTTTGATGCATTCAAGACTACTTTAGTGTGACCTTTTTATGTGCTAGTGCTTTTAAGGCTCCTCAGATGTCTGGTCTTATAAGAAATTTTTTATGAACTTATTAATTCTTCATCAACTCACTGAGAGTATTCTTATCTTCAATTTTGCAAACTAAATGCAATTTTGTCAAACAAAATTAAACAAACACTGTGTATAATAATAATCAGCAAGTGACAAAACTTTAAAAGTCAAGTTTTATGTGAAATTTAAAAAAAAACTTTTTCAACATTTTTTCCCCAAGTAGCTAATCTGCATCGACAACCTACCACTCCTATCAAATTTCTTTCATAATCCATATTAAAAAAATATCATCATGTTGACAATATTTTCAAACAAAAATTTACTGCTAGAGCAATAATCAATAATCAATACAAATGCCAGAAGTAAGAAATGATTTATTCACTGTTTGATGGGTCAAAACGCAGTCGCAATAGCCTATTGATCTTTTGTTTTATGAAGAATTGATAATGTCGTCAACCATTTACCATTTGTAACATGTTCTTAATGCTTTTGTATCTTATTACTCTTTTTTATTCATTTATTTATTATTATTATTATTTTTTTTAGGAAGCGTTTACTAAATCAGGCCCAAAAAGTGACAGTAACAATTAGAGGCCCTTTCCCCTAACACAATCACTAAGAAAAATTTTGGGAAAATGTTTTGAAAAAAGAATGTTGATTTTGTTTCAGATAACAAAATAATTGCCCCAAATCAATATGGATTTCAATCATGTAAGTCTGCAAAAGATGCACTCTTTGAGGCTCTTGACAATAAAAATAAAGTTATCGGATTATTCTTGGATATCTCAAAGACATTTGATTCTGTAGATCATGCAGTATTGCTTGAAAAACTTTTCTGTATTGGTATCAAAGGTTTAGTTTATAATTTCATTAAATCTTATTTGTTAAATAGGACTAAAAAAAGCCAAACTTTTAGCAATCCCATTTATATTAATTATGATGTACATACGGGATCTTAGTTTGGGGTTACAAAATTTTTAATTTTGCCAAAAATGCTCAAAAATTCTTTAATAAAAATATTGCTAAATAAACAGAACGTACAACAAAAAAAACTTAACATTGATTTTAAATTGTTAAAAGTAAGAAAATATTTTTAATGTATTCATGTCTTCGTATTAATAAAAATAAATTTTTGCCCATTATGGATTTCTGTTACACTACAAGAACAAACCAGTTAATAAAATTTATTGTTCCTAAAGTAAACACTTCATGCGTTATAACAATGCATATAATGTAAGATTAAGATTCATATATAAAAACAAATTTAATATAAATCCCTTTCCCTCTTATGAACAATAAAAAACATAATAAACTAATTGTTTAAAAAATTACATAAAATAGTGAAATAAATTGAATTTATACTGCAACCACTTTTTTTAAATTTATTTATTATTATTATTTTTTTTTTAAAACGAGGGTTTGCAACAGCAGAGGTCATATCAACCCTCAAGGTGCTGATGTTTTTGAAAAAAAAAAAATCCCATTTGTAAGTATGTCGGGTTCGAATAAAGGGACACTGGGTTCGAACCTGGGACTTTCACCTTACAGTGATGAGCGCCGTGTCAACGCCTAAACCATTGCGGCCACCGACGTCTCTGTCAACCATTAAGTTGTATAATTTTTTTTTTTTTGCAATGTATAAAACTATTTGTGAGCTTAACTCTTGCTCTCAAGCACAAATTAAACTTATGAGAGCAGGCTGTTAATTTTACATTATTTTGTTCTATGTATGTAGTATAATGAATTCAATAAAGCATAATTCATTTTTCATAAAAATAAATTCATTTTTATCTTTTTTTCGTTTATGCGTAAAAATAAAATTAATACAATTTTGTACATAATAGAAGAAAATAGTACATTAATTGAAGGTTAAAAATAAGCATTTTTTCCTGATAATAGATCAGGGTTTTTTAAATTTATTATTTTTATTTATTTGTTATTTCAATTGCAAGTATTTATCAAGTAAATATTTTCTAATGCTGAGTGTATCGTTCGAGCCACTTGTATGAGAAGTTGCTAGTGACAACACTACTTAAAGTTAAAATAAGTTATTAAGACATTTAAAATGCTTACATCTTGTTGGAAGAAAAACTGAGGAATAAACACTAGGTTTTATTACACTACTTTTCATTGCCACCCTAGGAACTGCTAAATTTGAAATTTTTTTAGGAAAAGATAGTAAAACAATAGTTTTCACGGTCTTTACAAACGACATTGTTAATCTTTTAAATGACAACGGTAAACAGTTAAGTTGGAAACGAGCGTTACCTTCTTGTCGTATTGTTGTATTGGTTTTTGAAATGTGGATTGTCGAGTCTCGACGTTGAACTGGCGTGCTACTGCGTTGACGTGTGACTCCGATATCACGTCCTACCCCCACAATAACCGCTTTCGAAAGTCCACGCATAATTTATGCTATTAAAGTTAGCCGCCAACTGGAAAAATCTAGAGTACTATTAGATAGTTTTGAGACAACCTAAATAATCTTAAATACTATTCATTCTAACTCAAGAATATCATGTTAGAACTTCTTGAAAACACCTAAAAGTGGCAGCATTACATTAAAAACATTCAGACTATAAAAGCTCAATGAAAATAATATAATTATCAGAAGTTTTGTAAAACTGTTAACTCTGACAAATCGTTAACTAAAGTGGTTTTCTTAACAACTCTCATACAAACCAAACAAACTTAAAATGCCTAAATAGTTTTTTAGTATGTAATTGATCAAATAAACTGGATTTTAAGTGAACATATCACATTTAACAAGATATTGGAGACTACGTGAAAATATATAAATTTTATCTTATTGATTTCACACCTTCATTGATAATGCTCAGTATGAGTCAAATCATTTTTGTTAGTTTGATTCATTTTAATTTAAATTATATTAAATAAAATTTACATTGAATCAATTACATTAATCCTTTGGTGAGCGGCTTTCAGATGATGATACCATACTGCTCACAGGTATAGATCCCTTGACTCTTTCACTACTGATGGAAAACGCCATGGGATTGCTTTAAAGGTGGTGTTGTGACAAAGGTTTATCAATTAATCCTGCTAAACTAGAATTGTTAATGTTTAGCAGGAGAAGAACATTCGGTAATTTTAAAAACCCTAAATTTCAGGGCATAGAATTAAAGTTAGTGGATTCCATCAAATTCCTTCGTGTGACACTTGATAGGAAACTTGATTGGAAAGGTCATATGAATAACATATACAGGAAAGGCACAATATCAATGTTGCAATGTAGGAGAATTGTCGGTAAAACATGGGGCATCAAACCATGGGTAGCCAAATGGCTATGTACTGCAATTATTCTACTTAGATTATTTTTCGCAGCTTTAGTGTGGTGGAAAGGTCTAGAAAATAAAGGGAATAGTAATAAATTAAGGTCATTTCAAAGTCTGTTTGATGATGACAGGAGAATTTTCAACTACACTCACTCTAGCACTTGAAATCATAACCAATACCACACCCCTTCACACAGAGCACTAATTAGCTGCTACAGATTAATTAGCGAGGGCAGCTGGAATCATAAGTGCAACAACATAGGTCCCTCGAAAATCTCACAACTATTGAGTAAGGTTAACGGTCAATTATTAAGCGTTAGTGATAAAAAGATTAAAACTCCTTCGGGGAAAAAGCACTTTCAGGTAGTCACCCCTTGTGATTATAATTATGGTCTGGATGATGACCATCGTAACATAGACTGCTACACAGATGGATCATTTATCAAAGGAAGAGGGAGTGGTGCAGGAATCTACATACCAAAATTAGGAATCAACATCTCCTCCCCTCTTGGCAATAACACCTCCGTTTTTCAGGCGGAAATCTGGGCCATCAATGTATGTTGTAGAACACTTATGGAAAATAAAATTAAGGGAAAAGATATTAAAATCTTTTCTGACAGGATCCCTTTTGCCGCTTCTGCGAAAGAAAAGAAGAAACTGCAAGGCACTACCTTGCAGAGTGTGATAGATATGCTAGGTCTAGATTTGAAATCTTTGAAGGAGAGGACATCACCAAATCACTCCCCGAGATAGAATGGTCCAAAATCTTGGGGTTTGTGAACAATTCCAAGAGATTTATGCAGAACACATGAGCCGACCAAGTCCCGAACCTTTTAGGGATGGGGTACGAGTCTACCCAGGCATTTAACCCCTTGGGTCTTGGTCGCCCACCCTGCATAATATGTATATATTGGTGAGCGACTCGGCTCGGCTCAATCGAACGAATGAAAATGAGCATGAGTGCTAGGGTGCTCCGAGGGAGTGGAGTCTACTTGACTCTAGGCCCGTCAAGCCTTTTTGGCTAGGATGTCCGGTTGCCTGGCTTGACAGGTGGGCATCCACCCACCATTTCTGCTAGCTAAGTCCTATAGGAGTAGGTTTGAAATATATAACTATTGGGGTAGAATATTCAACAAGATCAATCCCTCTCGACTAATACAAATTAACAATGATTCACTTATTACACAATTCCTTTTACAAACAATGCAATTATTCATGATTTAATAATTAACCAATAATACATCTAAATAAATACCTCTATACACATGTCACCTTTCCGTGGAAATGTAAAATATAAAATTCTTTCCAGAAACAAAATAATATTTTTATTGATTTTCTTTAACAAACTCAAAACAAAATACACCTTTTTTTGTAAAATAAAATAAATTATATTTTTATTGATCTTCTTTAATAAACTCAAAACAAAATACACCTTTTTTTTTGTAAAATAAAATAAATTATATTTTTATTGATCTTCTTTAATAAACTCAAAACAAAATACACCTTTTTTTTTGTAAAATAAAATAAATTGAAATGAACAAATAAATTTAACTGGCGATCACTCAAAGGATATCCGGAATTAAAAGAAATGATCTTAAATACCTTGTGTTTTTAATTAGTTAAATTCACTAATTTCGTAGTCCGCTTGACCAATTAATACATTACAATTAATTAAGGTTTTTAATTGAGATGAAAAAAAGCCAATGGCACGAGCGGGATTCAAACCCACGATCTTCTGCTTGATACGCCGCTGCTCTACCACTTGAGCTATCGTGACCTCGATCCACTCGGACATCAACTTCCTATCTCAACCCCACCTTATGAGTTTTCCCTCCTTTTTGTTTTTAATTAGGTTGATCCTTCTCGGGCTCAGGAGAGTGAGATCCCTGTCCCCTCGAGCTCCTTTATGTTTATCTTTCTTTCATTTTCATTGGTACCAACCTTTTAAAATTCTTATTAATAATTTTTATCTATTTTAGTTTATATTATTTATTTAATTTTAATTAATTTTATTTTTTGGGACATCTGTTTGTAAGAGATGTTAGACACAAATTAACAACGCTCTTATTCCTATTACACAATTCCCAATTAACACGAAGCAATTTGTGAATGACTTCCCAACCTACTTATAACTAACAATTCATAGTTTTCACTGTAGTTTTAAATATTTAACAAAACTACTTAAAAATTAAACCTATACACAAATGAATACCTATCTACAAATGGATACCTCAAGCCTTCTAACAAATCCTTATTACTCGGCTTAATTATTGGGGAACGTATTATTAAAGATTAGGCTGCAGCCTCGAAATTGCCTGAGTACCCAGCTAAATAGAATGTTTAATCAATTAAATAATTAATTATGTGGTAATTGAAAAGTAACTTACACTTTTACACAACATAAAATACTTCAAGAGGAACACTTAAATTGAACCGTTTTTCTTGTTATTGCTTGTAAAATTATAATCATTATAAACATTACATTTCTTCATTAATCCAATTTAACTGATTATTTTAAAGAGTGGTTTGCCTGAATATTTTGCGAAAAACATGGCTCTAAGTAATATTTGAGAAGAGAATTATGTGAATAATTCCTACTCATTTCTAATATCAATATTTTATTTATTTTATCACTCTTGGTCTCATATAGTCGGTGTTGATAATAACAATTATTTTTATCAATTAAGTTACACTATTGTGCTGTTGAAAATTATTATTAGTTACAAGTTATAAAAACTTATAGTTAAAAAATAAAGTAATAAGTAATGATATTTTTTCAACTGACTTAGAGGCCAAATCCTTATACCTCAAATTCCACTCTAAATTATTTACATCATTACAATTTTGTTATCATCATTTATATCATGTTCTACTTTATTGAGGTTGAGGCATCATTGGCCTTGTGACCAGGCATTCTTTGGATTCATTTCATGCACTAAAAAAAAGAAAAAGGCAGGTTGGTTATCATCGGATGGCCTACATTCACAAGCACTTTGGTTCAGCTACCTTATCACCTTATTTGCTCAATTGGTGCTGTTATAGATAAATTGAATGAAAAGCTTATAAAATATAAAATATTTTTATTCAATCATATTATGCTTAAAATTCATTTAGGAGAAAAAATACTAATTTTAAATATAAACTTGCTAGTGCAAGAAATTCCTTTGCTTATTTATAATTGTTAATAATAAGAACTGTAATTAAGCTCTCAAATAATATTTTTATGTACAAATTATGATAGGAGCTCAGGGATTTGTAAGAAATTCAACGAAATTCAACAATAAAGACTTGGATTGGATTTGGACCTTGGTGAGATGGGTGAATTACCTCTCCACAAGTTTCAGGCCAATTATTGCTATATTTAGCAGAACAACTATTGCAAATTTTGTACAAAAATCAAATAACATATGTTAAAAATTAAAATATAATAATAATATGAAGATTTTATGTAACTACTTTTGAAAAATAATAGCTAATAAAACAATGATTGTCATCAATGAAAACAGGTTTGTTATTGAAGAAATGGCTTCTTTCATGGTCTTCATCAATTATTAGTTTATATTATCTGAATAATACATTTTCATATACATTATACCAGAGATTTCATAATCTCTGCACCTTGACCTCTGATGTCTTCTTAATCTTATCCTTTATCTGAATGTCTTGATTTCTTTCCACAACTTTTCTGTCAATCTTAGCTGTGTTTTTTATTGTTAAAGACCAAGTTAGGTTAGTAGGTTAAGAAAAAATACATATGGTTGTGCAAGGTTTTGTACAGGTTAGTGAGGTGGTGAATTTGAACTTCAATTTTCTGACCTTGGTCTGCCTATATGACAGACTAAAACAGTAGTGATAGGCAGACCAGGAAAAAAAATGGCCTAATTAAACATGAATTTTGTTAATACTTAACTATTTTTCTTGTGATAGGCTGGGTTGTATATTTTCTTTAGAACTTTAGTTTTGAACTAACATTTTGATTGTAACTATGATCTTATAAATCTAAACGTTGTACTCTGAAGCAAGAACTAGGTTTGATTGAGTTTTTCTCTAGAAATGATTAAATAACTTGATTTCAAGTCCTGAATTACTTTCCTATATAAGGTTCAATGCCCCAAAATAGAAAAATCATAATTTATCATTATTCAATGTCTCTCACTGCTCCACTAACTACCAGTTTCACTCTCCCGTCAATACAATTCAGCAAACAGGAAATACACTAAATGTAGATGTATTTAATATTATATCCATTTAAAAAAGAGTTAAAAAATAAATAAATTTTAGTATTATTGCAAATTAATTTATAAATATTTATGTAATATCATGTACATATATATTTTTATATTTTATACGTTTCCAATGGTAATATTTAATATTATTGTTTTAATTTATATACTATATATTATTATTTAATAATATTTAATATTATTTTATGTACAATTTTATAATTTTTGTATGTAAATTAGGCTATCAGCCTGTATAAGTAAATAAATAAATAATAGAAGCCAGTACTTTTTGTTTCTTGTGGTCTTTTTGGCCTGGTGACATATATCTTTCAACAATGTTAAAGACCTAATTTGATGAAGCTTTTGTTTGGGAAAGAGTTTTTCTCTATATTATTTAAATACTTAAAAATAATTGAAGAAATAATTATTTCGATTTTATTTTTTTAATTTATTATTATTATTATTAATTTTTAAGGGCGTTTTAACGGCTAAGGTCATTTCACGCCCTAACATCCCAAACCTTCTATCTTAGTTTAGCTATATCCCTTCTGAGTGCTATAAAGCTCTGACTCCAAACATTCACTCATAAACTAATTTATCCTATTGCCATCCAAGCTTTAATTTATCCTCTTAAAATTCTTAATTTGGAAGGCCAAATGTATGCAAAAATCACATTTTAAATTACATATAAAATTTATTTATTTAAAAATTTTTAAAATTAGAATTCTGAATTTTTGTTCCATAATTTAAACATTTCCTATAGGCTTGTATGGCTAATAATAATAATAATAATAATAGAGTCAGACTAGCAACAGTCTCAGCATGAGTATAGGCTCATCCTTATCATTTTATTCTTCCATTCAAATATGATAAATACAACGCAACAGCAGAGGTTATCTCAACCCTTGGGATGCCGCTGTTTAAAAAACAAAACAAAACCATTTGTAAGTATGTCGGGTTCGAATGCAGAGACACTGGGTTCGAACCTGGGACCTTTACCTTACAGTGATGAGCGCCGTGTCAACACCTAAACTGTTGCGACCACCGGCGCCCCCGATAGGCCTATTGTGCAATTTATTTCATAATAGTTGATAAAAGCAATAAAAATAATAGTTATTGCTTAAAATTAATATTTAAAATTGATATATTGTTTAATTTTCTGTAATAAATCACAGAAATGTTATGATTTTTCAAACTTTGTAGTGCACATTACAGATGAATATGAGCTATGTAGTGATATTTGTTAACAAAATAATTTTTATTTTCTACTGTTTAATATGAATTATGTATTTTTTTTTACCACGGTTAGAAAACATTAGTGGAATATATAATTTTTGGTGTACCACACTTGAAATTTAAATAACTAACCCTTATATAATTAATGAGATGTCCTCCTGTGGTCAGTGAGGTGAATCTATAATTTGATCATCACTGATCAATTGGTCTGCTATCCGTGCTGGTTGGTCTGTCAGAGCTTTTTCGGCATTTTGCTATCTTCAATGTCTGTGAAATGGGGTGTGTGTGTCAGCATTGTCGTTTTGTGTTTGTTACACACTAAAGATGGCAAAATGCTATGTCAGACAGACCAACATGTGAGAAAAAGCTGACCAAAAGAATTGGTAACAACCAAATTACAGTCTCATATAATTACTACTAATATTTTTGTAATTTGAGAACTTTGAAATGTGAACTAGTGTCATAATCTTGTTAAAAAAATTAAGAGCAGTTTGCATTAAATGGGGTCATCACTGGTTGTTTTGACAATAAGAGGCTTCATTTAAATTGGTTTACATTTAAATTTAAATATACACGTTTTAGTAAGCTAAAAGCTTTTATTTATAAGAAAAGTAAAAGTTTAGTTTTTTAAACATAATTGTACATGTATAACTTTTACAGATGTCAAAACATATTTAAAGTTAAGGGACTCTTCTATCCTAGTTGTCTGGGTTTTCACGTACATTTATATTTTGGAGCATGTATTCTCGTCAAAAATTTATCAATTTGAAATAAAACGAATAAAATTTTTTAAGTCTTAAATAATCTTTTTCTGTACACCAATGATGTTCTATTGAAGTGAACTTACATATTCCAATTGAAATAAGTTGATGAAAGAATATTTATAAAAATTATGATCTGTTAAAAATTTGCGACTGAAAAAAAAATCCAATCATTCGTTTGTAAGCAACTGGAAATAAAATCAAAGAAAACTCACAGTTGATGAATAAATCAAATTATATTTATCAAGTTGGCATTGAATTTTAACATTAATAAAAAATACAATTCAAAACAATCCAAAACATCAACAATTTCGAGATTTCGGTTATTGTACTGTGCTGTGTTTATTTAAATTCAAAGCTCGAATTGTAGTGCAATGTTCAAAGACAGCTACCAAAACGGACTTTTGTCTATATTTTATAGCTGCGGGAGTAAGCCTTTAGCCCTCTGGTCAAAAAACGTAAGCTCAAACTTTTTCTCTTTGTTCAAATAGTTTGATATTCTTACTTTCAATAAATCAACGAGCCCGGTTGTAAAGGGCGAAAAAACATTAACCGCCCCGTTGTCCCCTCGGGAGATCCAGTGTTATGAAGGGCTCATGCTTTTCAATGAAAGAGCAGGTGTTTTTTCTTACCCAAGTGTTCAGAATCTCTGATAACACATAACTTAAGTCGGGGACCTTTTGAAAATTGCACGGTCCAAGCCGGTGACAAACGGTTTAGTGGCTGGGGAAAAGGTCAATTTTTATGTTCTTTCATCAGCACCGAATTCTGTTTGTCACAGGTGAAAAATGGTTACGTGAAGAGGATAACGGATGAACATGTCAAGTCTCTCGTTTTGGAAATAATGGGCAACAACGTCGTCTCGACGTACATCGCCTGCCCTTCCGACATGAACTCCTCCTTGGGGATCAAACTTCCCTTCCTTGTCCTCATTGTCAAGAATTTAAAGAAATATTTCACATTCGAAATCCAGGTAAAGATTTCCTACATAGTTATATAAAACAACGCAAACAATTAATTTTGGTAGTTACTAAGATTCTTTTAAATAAGGAAATCGCTTCGGAAAAAAGTTTAAATTTCACTGATACAAAATCAAACGTTAAGAACAAACTATACAAATATTCACATATCTGTTTTTTTTAATCATTTTTATACGTTAGTATTTATAAAACCATTTTTCTGCCCTATTGTTCTAATTAGAAAACTATTTACAAGACAGATAAATAAATATTTTCAACAAGTAGAATTCAGGCAAAAGTTAAATATGTCTTCACAACAAAGTACGAATTTTACTGAAGTTTTATCAATCAAAAGTATAAATGTGCAAAAGTCGTCAAACACATGTCTTACTGACTTAAAACTTCTAACGTAATGGGTATTCATAAATTTGGTCAGTTTGGTCACACCAGTTTTTAACATGAGCCTGAATTCTTCAACATAGAAAATCTGGAGTAAATAAACGTACAATTACTACAGCAATGCTAAAACTGTTAAAAGTTCGAGGAATTAGAAAAACTAATTGAAATTTGATTGTTTTATTTTCAATTCATAAACTTTTTTTACATCGTTACAAATATAGATTCAGTGTTAACAAAGTATACACAAAAATGTAAATTCAGAGGGTTCAATCTGCTTCCCTAGCTATTTGAATTTGATGCTGAGAGATGGGTTAATCACGTGACATGTTATGGACTGAGTTTTTCAAATAGGCACAAACCTCATTTTAAACATGCTATTTTTTTAATTAAAAGAATGACCGACAATTGGTTTTTCTTGGATGAAAGGACTTCAAATTGTGAAGTTCACAAGGTCTTTCCTTTAGAAGCAAGCATTTATCGAAATTAATTTAGACCACAAGAGTATTCGTCGGTCATTCTATTAGTTAAATCCCTAATATTGTTAAGTTAATGTATTGAGCTCAGAGGAAGATATTGATTTCATGGCTTGGCTTTTCTTTGACGGTTTCAGAGCCCAATTATACAAAAATTTTGAAAACCTTAGCCCACTGAATTTTCACGAACAGGTGGTGGATATTTGAAATATTAAAAAAACAAAACAAAAAAACAACAGCCAAGTCCTGAATGGTACTGATTCAAATATCCAACACTGAGTTTCATCCATTAACTAACAATTTTTCCAAAAGGGTTAATTTTGGTGGGCTGCCAGGATCGAAATCTTCCGCTGTGCTTAACAGCCACCGAATGTTGAGAGCATCCGTTCCTTCCGCAGATCTTGGATGACCGCAATATGAAGAGGAGGTTGAGAATAAGCAATTACCAGTCCTCGACCAAGATTCGACCTTTCGACTGCACAATGCCGATCGGCCTCAACGAAGGCTGGAACCAGGTGTACTTCAACCTTTCGGACTTCACGCGGCGTGCTTACGGCACTTCTTTCGTCGAATGCCGTCGGGTTCAGGTCCACGCTAACTGCCGGCTGAGAAGGGTCTACTTTTCGGATAAATTGTACAACAACGACGATTTACCTAAAGAATACAGGCTTTTCCTTCCCGTGGCATAGATCGATCCTTAGCCTTCCCTAACCGGGCTTTCCCTAACCGTTCTCCGTTCTTTTGTGAATTACGTTCTTACAGCAGTAATTTCGGTATCTAAGTGATTTGTCAAATACGTGTTCCATAATTAAAGTGTAGAAGTTATAGTTGTTCGCACTCTGTGTTTTAAATCTTATCGCCATTATCAGTTTTATATTTTTAATATATTTGTACAAAAATGTATGCGCCATAACCCATAATTCCCACCACTTTTTCTTGTACATTACATTCAACCTCGAGGAAAAACGTTTCTTTTTCAAATTTCAAACCTTGGTTGCAAAATGTCTTTTTATCAATAAATAAGTCATTGACTTGAAAAGATAGTACGTATTTACAGGTGAAACTCCACCACTTGGCAAATTTTATTTGTGTTATCTTTTTGCCCAATACCGTTAATCAATAGATAAAATTGGTATTTAAAACTGATTTAATTGATTTTGAAACTCAGTATCAATAATCCGCCCATATGAAACACTTCTAAATTTAATCTTTACTTAGAATTTTTTTACTTATCAATCAATCACTGCTGACGGATGATAGAACATCGTTAAAATGCTAAAATATCGGAAATGCTAATTTTTTATCGCGCAATTTATTTTAATTGAGATGAAAAAAAAAATTGTAGCTGACAATCGTTAATAAAAAGTATCGGTAAATTGACTTGGCAAGTATCTGGACCAAATTTAACAAATTAGGCCAATATTTGGGTGTTTGTGAAAACTAATAAAAAAAATTAAACCCGTGGGATTTTTCGTTTAAAATGTTGACATATTTTGAAACAAAAATTGCTTCTCTTTCTAAGTATAGACAGGTGTCCGATGAAAAATGTCGATATAAAAATGTACAAAATATATAAAAATGTTCAAAAATCGATGTAAAAAAAGAAATACCAAACTTATTGCAGTTTTTAGTTCAAAATCTACACATACAAATATCAAGCTTCCCATTAAATTTATCGACAGAATAAATATGGAATTTTTAATTTTAAATAAATAAAAATATGATGTAAAGTAGTTTCTAGTTCAAAATGTTGATATAAACATATCGAGTAATATTAAAAAGTTATTATTATATTGGGTTGTCCGGAAAATAATGCAGGATTTTGGTATTAAACAAAAAAAAAGAAACTAGTTACTTTAAAGCAATGTTCTTTAATCAAAATAATTTCCCATACTCTCAATACATTTCTCCCAACGTGTTGGTAACTTATTAATTCCGTCTGAGTAGAATTCAGAATTTTTAGAATTGATAAAGTCAATAAATGCATTTTCCAGTTCCGTTTGATTTTTGAATATTATGTGTTGTAAGTAGTGGTCCAGGTGTCTAAAAAAATGGTAGTCAGTAGGCGAGAGGTCCGGAGAGTAGGGTGGGTGAGGCAAAGTTTCATAGCCAAGCTCCAATAATTTTTGTGACGTTACACGTGACACATGTGGTCGAGCGTTGTCATGCAACAAAATGGGCCCTTTCCGATTGACCAAAGAGGGCTTCATTACTGCCAATTTCTGATGCATGGTATTAATTTGGTTACAGTATGATTCAGCATTGATGGTTTCGCCAGGATTTAAGAAGCTGTAGTGTATTAAACCAAATGAAGCCCACCATACCGTAACCATTACCTTTTTTTGATGAGTTGGGGGCTTTGGAAAATGTATTGGAGCTTCTCCTTTGTCGAGCCACTGTCCAGAATCCACTTTTCGTCACATGTAACAATTCTGGCCAGAAATGGGTCATTTTTGTTTCGACAAAGAAGTGATGCACAAACATCAAAGCGCTGATTTTTTTGGCGATCGTTTAATGAGTGTGGAACCCAATTTTCGAGTTTTTTCACTTTTCCAATCGCCTTGAGGTGGTCAGCGACGGTCGTTTTACTGACTTTGAGTTGCTCTGCAAGTTCTCGAACAGTTGTTTTGGGGTTTTCTTCCACCACTGATCGCAGAACATCATCATTAAGAGAGGAAGGCCTTCCACGACCTTCTTCATCTTCAAGGCTGAAATCTCCCTCCCGAAATTTTTTAAACCACCTTTGCACAGTGCACTCATTAACACAACCCTCGCCCCAGACTTGGTTAATGTTTCTAGCCGTTTGGGCTCCGCTTCGGCCGAGTTTAAACTCGTAAAAGAAAATCGTACGAAATTCTCGCTTTGACATTATAAGGATGACTGAATTATTTCCAAGTAGCGGAATGCTACAGAGGTAAACAAACAATATCATTTGGAAGAGGATTAATAAGTGTTGACATTCATACAAATGAGTAATCCTGTAAACGTAAACAGAATATTTTATATAGATTTTTTTTAATGAAAACTTAAAATCCTGCATTATTTTCCGGACAACCCAATAGTATGGCATATCGATTCTATCTCGTTGTATAAATGTACGGATACTCCTTCAAATTATCAGGAAAAAATAAAAGGGTTCAAGGTTCAAATTATTGATGATAACAACTAGAGATTCTCGTTCAAAATTTCGATATAAGAATATAGATTTTCTTTTATAAATTATCAGTGAAAATACAGGGTTTATCATTCAAACAATTGATAAAACCCGGAAGAGTTTCTCGTTTGCAATATCAATATAATAATGTTAACTTTCTATTTCAAAAAACGATACGATAATGTGGTGTTTCTAGTTGAAAATCACGAGATAAAAAGTAGGGTTTCTCCTTCCAGTTATCGATAAAAACATAAAAGGTTTCTCGTTAAAATTATTGATAAAACTATCTTTAGTAGATGATGGGGTTTGGCCTGCGATCTTTAGTTTTATTTAGATTTATCAAATTATCTACAAAAATGTAGGGCTTCTCCTTTAAAACCAACCTAATAATGTGAAGTTTTTAATTCTAAGTACCAAACTAATGTGATGCTTCTAGTGCAAATCGTCGTCATAATATAGCAGGAATTCTCTTTTAATTATCGATGAAAACATCGATCCCGCTTAAATTGTGACAAAACCAATTAGAGATTCTCGGTTAATATAACAATAAAATAATGTAAAATTTATAGTAAAAAAAATTGGTATAAAAATGCAGGGTTTCTCCTTTAAAGGAATAATATAATGATGCGAAAAAATATATATAGTTCAATACATTATCATTCAAATTATTGATAAAATCTACTAGTTAGTTAAAATACTAATAAAATGATGAGGAGTTTCTTGTTCAAAAACTGGATATAATAATAAGAAGTTTCTAGTTCAAAATATTGATAAATATATAAGGAATTTTTTTTTCAAAATTTTATATAAAATGTAGATGTTCTATTTAAAAATATTGAAAAAAAAATAGTCGGTTTTCTAACACAAATATTGATATTATATATGGAGATTCTCGTGCAAAATTTCGACATAAAATGAAGGTATCTTGCAGAAAGTATCTATAAAATAATAATATGACGTTTTATTTTGAAAATTTTGATATAATAATGTTGAATTTCTTGTTTAAAATATCAATGTAAGAATTTCGTTTTTCTTCTTCAAAATATCCTTAAAAATATAACGTATAAATATATAGATTCTATCACTATCTACTCTATCTACTCAAATTCACAAATGTAAAGATTCTCTTTCAACTTAAAAAAAATTAGATTTGGTTTTTTTCGTTCTTCTTCTTCTTCTTCTTCTTTTTTTTTTACGAGGGTTCGCAACAGCAGAGGTCATATAAACCCTCGGGGTGCCGGTGTTTTTGAAAAAAAGCCCATTTGTAAGTATGTCGGGTTCGAATGCAGGGCCGCTGGATTCGAACCCGGGACCTTTACCTTACAGTGATGAGCGCCGTGTCAAAGACTAAACCTTGCGGCCACCGACGCCCCCCGTTCTTATTATTAATCAACAATATGTGGTTTCTGATTAAAAATCTATATACAAATGAAGAATTCTCCATTAAATGATTGATATAAAAATATAATAGGTTTTCTACTTCAAATTAACCATAAAACATATAAGGAACCTTGAATGTATCTATATAAAAATAAATTGGTTTATAGTTCCAATTCTCGATATAAAAATGAAGGGATCTTTTTGAATTGGTACATTGTAAGGATTCTTGTTCAATGAATTTATTAATGATTCTGGGTTTTTAGCTCAAGATCTTTTTATAAAAATTTATCATTTATCACCATTAATTCGTATTAATTATCTCTATAAAAAAATAAGCACTAGTTTTCTTGGTCAACTTGACCAATTAATATCTTTAAATAATTAAGGTTTTTAGTTGAGATAAAAAAGTCAGTGTCACGAGCGGGATTCGAACCCACGATCTTCGGCTAGATACGCCGCTGCTCTACCACTTGAGCTATCGTGACCTCGATCCACTCGGACACTAACTGCCCATCTTGAAAAATGGCAAAAAGGAGGAGGGAAAATTCAAAAGGTGGGGTTAAGACGGGAAGTTAGTGTCCGAGTGGATCGAGGTCACGATAGCTCAAGTGGTAGAGCAGCGGCGTATCTAGCCAAAGATCGTGAGTTGGAATCCCACTCGTGACACTGACTTTTTTATCTCAACTAAAAACTTTAATTAATTGATAAAAAATAAGGTTTTTCGTTCATATTTAATAGTTTATATTTAAGGTATGACAAATATCCTTGGTATTGAACAATTGTTAATTTCAAGAATCAATATTATTGTATCATTATAAAATCGAGGTCCTTACAAAAACTGTACAATGGTTGAACCAGCATTGCAGGAATCTTTTAAACTAAAGTACAAATCTTGGGTAAGGAAGTCAAAGTGGAATTTTTTTTAAACTCTTAAAAAACCGAAATTTTTGAAATCAATAATCTTTTTTAATTGAAATGTGGATTATATACAACCTAAGAATTTTTTTAAATAAATGAGAATGTATTGAAGATATACTGAATTATGTAATTAACCCGTGGAGGTAAATCAAGTCGTCAACGTCATATGGATCATTAATTTGTAGGTAAAGTAGATGCATTTATAAAAACCCTTTTTCTCTTTTAATAAGTAGTTATAATCAATATTAAAAATTTCATTGCTTGGTTCTATTATTAGTAGGTTCTTGTAATCGTTCTTTTTTTCCCGCACTTTTTGTTTTCTTTGTTTTAAAGAAAACACTCCGCCCCGAAAACAAAATTTGATTAATCCGTGGTTTTCCCGACAGGTCCTTGACAACCACGATATCAAAAGGAAATTCACGCTCTCCAACTTCAAATACCATTCGAGGATAAGGCCGTTCGAGTGCTGGGTCCCGATCGGGTTGACTACAGACTGGAATGAGATCCAGTTCAGCCTGGCCGATCTGACGAGGAAGGCGTACGGAACCGAATTCGTCGAGTGCACAAGGGTGCACATACATGCCAACTGTCGCCTCAGGAGGCTCTACTTTGCAGACAAAGTCTATAACGAGTCCGATCTTCCCAAGGACTACAAACTCTACCTGCCTGATGTCCATCATTGATACAATTCCGGCAGGCAAAATTACAACAATAAATACATTCAGTTTAAAACAATTATATTCCTCGTTTTTTGGACAATCTAAGAATCTTTACGAATTGAAAACCAAGCAATGTGATTTTTTTCCTTTGTTTAAATCAACTATATTGCTGTTTCTTCTTATTTGTCGCTTCTTGATCTTTGTTCTTACTAATTTGTATTGATTCTTTCACGTCCATTATGTATGTATATTAACATAAATGGCGAATTTAATAAGGGGCTTATATTAGAATAAATATATTAATTTTAATTTAAACAAATCCAGTTTATTCAAGGTTTTTAGAATAATTTAAAAATACCTTCATAATAAACCAATTCTATTAGACACACAAAACTAACGTTTTCTGTACAGGAGTTCAACTATAAAAAAAAAAACTTTTTCCTAATGATGTTAAATATCAAAGGCTATTTATAGATAATAAAACAGCAGTTGTTACAAAAGCTTTGATGTAAATATACAATTGCATCTTATAATATAAAAGAGTTCTATCAAAAAAGGGATTAAAACTATAAACTTTTGTATTTTTAGAAGTTTATTGCTTTATCTGAAAATTGCTGTGCGATTTTTTAAAATAATCCTGCTCCTTGCGCATTGTCCAATTTTAATAAGGTATAAACAATTATGGCTTTGAGAGTAACAAAAGTTAAAAAACAAAGCAAATTTACATGTAAAATTTCTGAATATGATGTTAGTAAAAATATCATCTCTTAATTTCCATGTTTTTTTAAACTAAAGTATTTTGATGATACATTTTCACCATATCGTACTTAGTTTAGTAAAACGACAAAGTTATATTTTTATAAATTCTTTTTAAGTTTAAAAAATAATGTAATTTTAGGAACGCACCCGTAAAAACCAAATTTCCTGCGATTTATTTGAGGACAAGGTAATCGTAAAAATCTAGAGTTCCTTATTTAACAGGATACTCATTCTCTCTCTCCCTCTCTCTCACTCTCACTCTCTCTCTCTCTCTCTCTCTGTCTCTCTCTCTCTCTGTCTCTCTCTCTCTCTCTCTCTCTCTCTCTCTCTCCCCGACTCCACTTATATTCTTATCACTTCTTCTTTTTCCTGCTCCTCCTTTCGCGCGAAATTTTTCTTTCTCTATCTTTCGTTTTCTCTCTCCCCCTCTCTTTTTCTATCGTCTATCTATCTCTCTACTTGTATTTCTGAATTTTTATCTGTCTGTCTCTCTTTCTCTCTCCCTCTCTTTCTATCTCTCTCTCTCTCTCTCTCTCTATCTCTTTCTCTTGCCTTCTAACTGCTTTTCTTTCTTATCTTCTCCACATCTAACTTTCTCCTTCGATCCCGCACACACAGCAGGCGTAAATAAACTCCCTGTCTCTTAAGGTTACTACAGACAGGAAAACACACACACACACACACACACACACACACACACACACACACACACACACACACACACACACACGCGCACGTTTATGCGACTTATTTATCATTTCATAACATTTCATCACAACATTCATATTTTTCATCGAAGCATGAATTGCTAACAGGGCTATTATAATTGTTATTATAAGAAAAATCCAGTGTTTTGATTTCAGACATAGTCAAAGAATTTCAAAGTTATTTCAGTAATACTGAAAACGAGTGGAATAATCTAAATAGCAAAGTATATAATATCTCATATGTTTTATGTGTTCCACACATTACTCATCTATTTACAATTATTTGTCTCAAACAATTAAGCCTAGTCCACACTTGGACTCAAAGTTGCGTGTCATTGTTGGGGGGATGAATTTTCTTTGAATCAGGCGTGTTGAGATTCAGCCCCGCAACATGTCCCCTTGTATCTGGAGGGTATTGCGGTCTTCTAGGGTATCTACTCGATACAAGATTTTGAGTCCCATCGAATCGGGATTCAGTGATACAATGTTGCGTAACATTGCAAGTTTGGCGTATTTTCCGGGGCAGCCGGAGTGTTTACGGTAGGGAAAATTGAATCTGTAAATTTGTGTTTTCTTTTAACACCTTCGGTCGAAAACCATTTCCGAAAGATTTTCAAAATCTTTAGATGTTTTCCTTCAAAAGTTGACAACTGTCATTCTATCTTTTACCCTTAATGTGTTCAAAAGATCGCGGCATGTATCTTTGTAACTAAACAATTTTCGGACCCACCATCTTCTTCCAATTCCAATAAGAAGGTCGTGGGTTCGAATCCCGCCCGTGGCACTGACTTTTTTATCTCAACTAAAAAACTTAATTAACTGAAAGATATTAATTGGTCAAGCGGACCACGAAAATTAGTGAAGTTATAAATAAATCTATCGAGTTTTATGTTAAACTGTGAAATACACTATGACAAATTCCACCAACGTCTAGTCCGAGGGACGTTTCGATTAAACCAGGTAATTTCTCGCAATCGAATATTTTCCTTTTCGGTGTGTTTGAAACGTTCGCCAAAGTGGAACGGGATCATTGTCATCGGGATAAGTGGTACATTAAAGGAGCAAGGTCAGACCGCAGAGCAAAAGGAAATAGAAAGCCATTTCCTGGAAGCATTCTTCTGTTTTCTTTGTTCAATACCCCTTAAGTTACCGTCTTTTTGTACTCTTTGATAAGTCTAATTACAAACTGAAACCTTTTTATTTTTATACTATTTTTGGGAAAAGCTAGATAATTTCTAAATATTATTAATAACATTTATAATAATCAAAGAATCATATGTTACAACTAATATTGTAGTTTGTACATATTTAATAAATAGGGAGAATAAATAATATGACTAAGGTTGACGAATTAAGGCGATAAGTTTTGTAATTTGATTATTTACTGTACAATAGTTAAGATTTATTGTTTAAAAACAGCATGGTCGTCATATTAATTGGCCTTGTTTTACGATACAGGTCTTAGATGATCACAGCATGAAAAGAAAATTTCACTTCAGCAACGGGAACATTGTTAAGAAAGTAGGTCTCTTCGAGTCATTCCTTGCCATGGAACTTACACCGGAATGGAATCAACTAGAGCTCAATTTACAGCATCTTACAAACAAGCTGTACGGCACAAAATTTCAGGAATGCACCCGGATTCACATTCATCCCAACTGCAGGCTGAGAAGGGTTAGTACAGATTCAAATTGTAAATGATGAAATATTTGTGCTTTTTCGCCGATGAAATATTGCTTTTCTTTTTCGACCATAGAAAAATCGTGTAAGCTCCCTAACTTTCCATCTAGCGTCATAAATCCCAACGCTACATCGTCCTACTTGGCCATTATTCAACACTGTTTTGTTCCCCTTTTGACCCAAACACAAATTTCCATTTGCAAACTATTAATTAATTATAAAGGTTTATGGCTTATCTGGTTATCTGAGCTTTCCGTTTTTTTTCTTTTACAGGTTTATTTCGCGGATCGTTCCTATTGTCAGGCTGAGCTGCCCAAAGATTACAAGCTTTTAGGCAAAGGGCCGGATCTTACAAAGTTAAAGAGAAAATTTAAAGCTAGCTTTTAACATTCAACTTTTCGTGTCTTTTTTCGCCCCCTCCTCACGACGTACAAAACAAATTATTTCTCTTTGAAACAATTAAAGTACCTTTTAACTGAAAACCGGATAAGTCATAAATTTTTATTGACTCTTGTGGCATCGATTCCGATATTTTTAAATAATAAATTTATTTATAGATTTACTTCAGTGACAAGCATTACGATGAATGTGAGCTCCCTGATCTTTTCAAGCTGTTCAGATCCGAAAAATCGCCTGACTCACTTCTACAAGACACCAGTAGAGACGATTAAAAAAAAAAAAAAAAAAAAAAAATCGAGTTAACAACGGAAAGTTACAATCAATATTTTTTTTTTAACATTCACCACTTAGCGTTGTTATTTTTTGTTAAAACCAACAGTGTTACATATTTGCAGGAAAACAAGTATTTTATTTTCAAACCGGACGATAACAAATGATATATATATAATATATATATTTATTAAGTTAATGAACATTTACTAACGAAATTTCGAAGTAGAGTATTAAGCAGGTGATCATTGCCAGGCAAATGAATCATTATTTAGGTTAAGTTTTAAAATTGTAAACTTTACCTCTTTTTTTAATCCAGGGTCAAAGTGACTTGTGACCTTTCAGATATAACAAAAATTAACAATATAATTTTATGATAAGATTTCTCCATGAGGTCTGAGGGTTGAAGAATCTTAATTTGGCCTGATCTGCCTATCCTCGCAGTATTTGTCAGTCAAACGATAATAGTTTAGTTGTAATTAGTAGTTTTTTGATTTTCTTATTAGGTCTGTTGTGTTAGAACTGCGATTGACAACATCATAAATTATCATATCTCATCATATCATATCTCGTCGACAGAATGACAGCATTAAAATATAAGACAAATGAAAACTACTGACAAAAGAGAAATACGAAAACAAACTAAATACAATAAAAATTATTTTTATTAAATTCACTAGTTTTCGTGGTCAGCTTGACCAATAAATATCTTTCAATTAAGGTTTTTAGTAGAGGTAAAAAAGTCAGTGTCACGAGCGGGATTCGAACCCACGCTCTTCGGCTAGATACGCCGCTGCTCTACCACTTGAGCTTGAGGTCACGATAGCTCAAGTGGTAGAGCAGCGGCGTATCTAGCCGAAGATCGTGGGTTCGAATCCCGCTCGTGACACTGACTTTTTTATCTCAACTAAAAACCTTAATTAATTGAAACTTATTTTATCCAAAAATAAACACGATCAACAAAATTGTAAACAAAAAGGCACTATATAAACATTTGAACAAACAGCATTTGACCACGCTTGCAAACAAGAAAAAAGTAACAACTAACAAGTCTATTTAACAAATTAGGAGTTAAAAGAGCACTGAAAACACGATCACAAACAGAAAGCCATCAACGCCAAAACATGGGAATGCGGAGACACGTCAGACAGACAGAATCAAAAATGAAAAACAGTTACAAAGAACATATAAGCCCGTTGACTGCGTGACTCACTTCACAGAAAACCATCATGAACCCTCAACGATACAGACGCGTATGAAACTCCTCACTACGTACAAATAGAAAGAAAAATGAGCATACTGGAAAGTTGGAAATGTACAAACACAAAACATTTAACACTGAAACTGACAAAACAAAAATTAGCAACAGGCCACATACATCTTTCACGCCGTTCAAACTCGGTACTAATTTAAAAAACAAAAGGACCTTCCAGAACAATGCACCCCCCGAAAAAAATTAGCGACAAACAAAGATAACGCTGACACAAGAAATCAAATTCACAAGAATCATCTCAATTCACAAGAAATCACACAGTACCATCGAAGATGGAAAAATTTATTTACTTATAATTTCTCTGTTATAGCCAATTATGGCTTTCAGAGGAGGTCGGTTGTAATAGAAGATAATATGTAACTAAAGCAAACAAAATAAAACATTACATTAAAATTATATTAAATCGATATGAGTATACAATAAAGCAGCAAAAATAAATAAATAGATAAATCAAATATTTGAGTCTAGTAATAAGATGGAGAAATTGCCATGACCAACCTACCGAGGCTATGCAGACCACCAGATAATGATCGGTAACGACCCAATTCAAATAAGGTTCATTCATCCCTCAGACAACACGGAAAAATATCAAAATTCTCTTAACATTCAGAATCTCACCATCATATATGAAGATCACAAATCGTATTGAAATTGGCCTGACAATAAAATTGTTTCATCAAACGAATTTAAATTCTGAAATTATAACTGTTATTCCATTCAGTATAAAACTCCTGTCCTAGCACCTTTGGATTAACACGTATTTCCCTTTTTTTTAGGCGATAACAGCCTTTCAAGATTGAATAATAAGTAAAAGCTGTTCTATCCAGTTATTTTTTAAAATTTATACGAGATAAAACTTAATCTTCTTTTGCAAACCCCAATCCTGTCTTTGAAGACCGATACCTCAAAGATCATCTTACTTTAAAATGAATTCAAATCTCAATACGTGTCTACTCAAAATGCTACTTCCATTTTATCTTACTCAATTCCAATTTTTGCGGCGGTTAGCGTAAAAATGTTGGTATTGTGCGTAGAAAGAAAAAAGCATAGCATGCCAAGAAAGCTCTCAGGTCCAACACGGAAAATGGCGAAATGCCGAAACACTAACAAACCAACTCTGCGACGATAGACTAAAATGATTGGTAACCACCAAAGTGCAATATAACTTCTCTTTTAATCAGAATTTAAATATTTATTAAAATCAATTGATCATTACCTTCATAAAATGCTACACATACAAAGATAAATTTCAAACTATTTAGTGAAGTCATTTCGCCAAAATTAATTACATATTATATATTATTTTTATTGTACGAAACTGCTTTTAATGTTCTTACTGTTTTCAATGTTTTTAAAATGACCCAGCCTACGATTTACCATGTGAAATTATTAAAATTACTATCTATCATAAATAATGTACATATATACAGCACTGTGAAAAAGTATAAACTCAAGAAAAAAACCTTTGTAAATTATATATATATAGTTTTTGAAATTATTTAACAAACATATTACGTTTTATTAAATAATATGTTTATATTTGTAACTATTTTATTATAATACACATAATATATAATATAGTTTTATGAATTCAATAGGGGAAAACATAATAAGTAGGTAGTATATAGCACATATAAACATTATTTTTTATTCGTCCATTAAAGCCTGTTTTTCGTAATATATCGTATAAATACTTGTGCCTGAAAGAATTATATTATAAGAATATTATAAATCAAATGATATTGCATGTGTCAGCTGGAAATTGAACAAAATATCAAAAAAAGTTGTGACAAACTATGGACTTAAAATCGTTTTTTATTATTTAAAATGTAAATTTCCTTTTAATAATGTTTATGGGGGTGTAAGTGGCCGCAACGGTTTAGGCGTTGACACGGCGCTCATCATTGTAAGGTAAAGGTCCCGGGTTCGAATCCAGCGGCCCTGCATTCAAACCCGACATACTTACAAGTGGACTTTTTTTCAAAAACACTGGCGTCCTGAGGGTTGATATGACCTCTGCTGTTGGGAACCCTCGTAAAAAAAAGTTTATGTCCACGGCGTGTTTTTACCATATTTAACCGTCTTCTGGGAACATTTTACTTGTTTTTTGGAGCATTTTTTGGAAAGTTTTACCAAGATGAAGAATTTATTAATTTTTATTAAATTCCTAAAAAAATTTGGATTTTTTTGCGTTTGAAACTCAAAGTCCAAACCATGTTTTTGAGACTAAAATTCTACATCCATTGCTTCGTGACCGTACCGTGGTGCATTATCTTGTTGGAAAATTGACCTTTCTTCTTTTAATTATATAATAAACGTAAAAAAAATCATCACTTTTTGGTAGTTAACAGCATTCATTTTGCCAACAGTAAATTGTGATTTACGTTTTTTATTGAAAGCAGCCCATACTGTTTACTTAACCTTTTCGACAATTTCAACTCGGCCAAATTCGTCTCTTCTGAAAGTTTTTCAGCAGACGCAAACGCCGATGTTTTTTGAGCTGCTGTTACCTGGTTCCAGCACTTCCGTACTAAGCTGGAGTTGCATTACCCAATTATTACATTTTTGAGATGGTGGTGGTGGTGTGGTGTTCCAGTTATTTTATTTTTCCTTAATTTTCGGGACCCGATTTTTAAAAAAATATTTAATTTGGCGTCAGCGTAATGGATTGCGCCAAAAACTCAAAATAAACAAACATAATAAATAAGAAAACAAATAAAAATCCTTGTAGTTATAGAAAAGCTAAAGCGTGTTTACATGTAATTTTAATTTCATTGATGATGGGAAAAGCTCTATTAAATCAAGATTATAAACTTTTGGATGTATACACTCGGAAAATTTCCTAGTATTTTAACATATTGTTTCAGACTTGAACCTTACTACGCACGTGTATGCACATGTATTTGACCATACAGAGGATAGATAGGTAAATACAGGCCTGATAAATTATTCAGAAATGAGGTTTTTGTTTTGTTGTACTTTTTTTGTTGTTGAGGATGAGGAAAAGTTTGTTCATTTCTGCTAGCCCGGATGAACAACTTTTTTAGACATGTAAGCAAAAATTTAGTTTATTTCCAACTGATCGACAAGTCAACTCTGGTTGACCATAGGATGACGTCGTTACCAACTCTCCCAGGCTGTTAGGCTGGTTACCAATAAAATGAAGAAAAAAACAATGATGTAAGAAATTTAAGCATGTTTATCGCCTCGTTTTAAACAATATAAAAATAAATTCATAAAGGGGAAATTTCGAGCATATGTTGACATACTTATATCAAAGTGGTTTCACATTTGATAACAGCTGTTTCTTCATTATTTTCACAAAATATAACAAAAATCTTTAAATAATTTCATAAATTGGTGATTCTTTTTGTTAAATTGTGGGAATTCGGCCATGCAGTGCTGTAACGGATCGCTTCTGGGACTTACTTGAGGACATGGCATTCGACATTGTTTCGCACCGTTGAAAAACTGGAACATTAAAGGTTTAATTCGTTATCGCTGATTTTGAATTCTTCAGGTATGTCCGTCTGTAATGTTGTCTCCGGCTTCCGCACTTACATTTTGTAGTTGTGGTTGTCGAGAACATACTCAAAATTGTTTCCGACATGTAAGTGTCTCACTGTTTTGCACAACTAAAGAAGCAAATTAAGAGTGCTCGGTTAATAATTTGAAAATAAAAGGTAATAGAGTTTAATCTTTTTAAAAAGGTATTAGTAAATAATTTGTTTTGTTTAGATGTTTCAAGCCCATTTTTCTATATTTAAAATCACCCAGACCACTGTGGAAGACATTGTGGAAAATCCATCGTCTTCAGCATTTTACTAGTAAGTCCTTTTTTTTTTTACCATATTTAGTAATAATTGAATTTTTTATGAAAAAATATTGAATTGGTATGTAATATTCGAAAAGCACAGAAAAATAGTAAATAGTAACATTTATTTTTAAGAAGAACTAAGCTACCTTCCTTACATTCGTTGATAAAAAGATTATTTAGGGTATAATCACAATGTATGTTTTTAAATATTATGCCACAAAAAATAAATATTAGATATTTTTGGTGAAATATTATCCTTTTTCAGAAAGAAGTAAACAAAGCCTATCTTACGTGTGTTTTGATTTAATCAAATGAAGAATTTGCTTGCTTTGACATAAAACATTTTTTTTATGAGTATATTTATATTTTCCTTCAAATTACGTGAAAAGAAAAAGGATAAAGAATCTGGTTGTTAAATGATGTAAAAGATAACCGTTTCTTTTTTAATAATTAAGCAAGTTTTAATTTACGTTTGAAACCTGAAAAAAGAGAATATTAATTTTGACTTCGATTTTAGATTTTGACCAAGATGCAACGTTTTTTACATCGTACACTTTGATTTACGGGGTGTGCACAAAAGTGAGTCACTTAGATGTCGGCAGCAATTTTGAGTTTGTCGCCTACAACTGCGACTTGTTCAGCGTGAAAAGTGCTGAAGCCGGGGACAACGTTGCAGTCAGACGTACCTGAAGAATTCAAAATCTGTGATGACGAATTACTTCTTTAAAAAGAAAAGCAATAACTGGAGGGCTTTGGAGAATATCGTTAAAAATAAAATACTAACCACTTTACGGAAAAAGAATAAAATGTTTTAATTAAAACTGTTAACTTAATTGTAAGTTAATTATTACATAATTAAAGAGAAGTTCAAAATTTGTTGTTAATATTACATTGTCTTGATATATTTACATTTTTTTAAAATTTAAAGTTCTTTTGTCATTTAGCATTCGGACAATTTCATTGAACCACCCTCTCTAAAAGTGTACCTCCTTGTAAATCGAAAAATCCTTGCACTTTTTACTTATCAACAAGGAAATATGAGCTTTATATTGCATTGTATAAAAATTCTATTAAATGAAAATTTAAAAAACAATTAGATAAGTAATTAAATATAAATAGATTTATTTACTTTGCTACGACGCGCGGTTACAAAATAAATATATGTATTGCATTTCAATAGGTGGCTCGAATTTGCTTGCCTGCAGATTGATTTGTTTCATGTTTTTTCAGAAATAGGTAAAAACATTTTGTTGTAACGCACGTCATCATAGATATCGTATTTGGGGCTTAAGGGGTTTTTGAACATTATGAATTTAAAAGGTATGCCGAGATGTTGCTATACTTCTTTTAAAAGGAAACATTTTTTAATAGGGTTCAGAACTTTAAAAACTACTCCAAATGGCATAACTTTGCCAATAAATAAATTGAAATGCAATGTATAAAATACAAGTTTTAAGGAGTTTTCGTTGATTTCATTTTTATTTTTTCCATTTACAGTTACATAAAATCAAAATCTTGTTGAACGAAGCTGAAGGTAGAACTATCTAGCATTCCAACGTTATAAGATCTGGAAATTGGAGAAAGTTCAAAGGAGTTAAGAATTTTAAAATGAAACTCCTAGGAGAAAATTGCTGATCCAGCCAAAAAAATGTCTACTTTTTACTGCAACGAAATTTGGTATTTAAGGCCTTTAAAAGATACTAAATGGAAAACAGAATTTTTTCCAACAAATTTGTTTGCCTATTTTTGTTGTTATAACTTCTTATATATCTACTCTGCTTTAATACAATTATGTAATTATTTTTTTTATTAAAAAAAATCGACTGATATATACCTTGAAATACATTTACAACGAAGGCAGAAACATATATTTTAAAAAACTATGTAAATTACTGAAAATAGTTTTCGTTTTTCAGCTCCTAGGACCCCCACTGGCAAGAAGGCTTGGATACGTGTCTACTATTTTTTAGCCTAGTAACACACACACAAACACACACAAAATCATTCCAATCGGCAATCCGGGATTCTCCTTGTAAGTATTTATTTACGTTATAAGAAAAATATAAGTTCGAACTAAATAAAGAAAAATAATTTTTTGGGGGTTTAAGCATAGGCATAGGCATAGTTTAGGCATAGGCATAAGCAAAGGCTTTTAAAATTTATAGTGACAACAAATCAGAATGAATTATAATATAATTATATATAACGAAATGTAAAGAAACAAATAAATCCCCTTAGGTGAGGAGTGGTTCATTTTTGAATTGGTTTAATTGAACAAATTTCTGTCCCTTATAGGTAATTATCATGTGTTTAAAAAAAACATATTTACCAACGATCCTATTAAATTGTTTTATTGCTTTATGTAATTTACGTAAATATGCAATTTTTGGTGTATTTAATTATGGATAAGGGTGTTGCAAGACATAGTGGAGCATTTTCATAGAAAATTGCGCTGAGCACGCCACATTTCATTTAACTCTTCAACTTTTTTGACATCTTCAGAATACAGCGAGAAATACTGACAAAAACTCGATGAAGAGTGGTTTTTATTTTAAAAAAATTTAAAGAAATCATTTCTGTTTTCACAGTAAAGTATTTTTTAATATGATTATAGGGAATGATAAATTATGACAGAAATCTGTATATTTTGTTTGTTTATAAACATATAATTGGTTTTATATTATTTTTAAGGATGACAAATATTTACACATTCAACTTGGATGTAATTGATGTATTTAGTGATAAATTAAATCACAACGGCTCTTTCCCGTTCCTGGATGGAAGATAAAAACAAACTTAAAAATACAATTTTCTATTTATCGACCGGTTAGGGGGTGGCTGGTGGACTCGTCGAGAGGGCCAAGGGGTAGTTTCAGCATGTCGTCGTAGAGGTCTCTGGTGCACTTTCTGCAGCCCAGTCCCGTGTCAGCCAGCCGACCTGGCGCGTCATGGCGTCCGCATATTCCAAGGCGCATACAAACTGAACCTTCAATCATCCGTCCATAAATGATAAAAGAGGGGAAAAGTGTCGAGAAAGGCATGAGGTGAGTCCAATTGTAACCAGTCTGGAAAATTTGTTCATACCTGACTTTTTAAAATGACACCTAAACATTTAAATAAAAATAATAATAAATATGTATATATATATATATTTAATTCTTACATAGGACCTGTTGTTTCATGGGTAATACAGGTGCTCGCTCTTTATTTAAGGCTTCACATTTAAATGCAATGTTTGCATAATTAGTTCTTGCCCTTCTATTACGTACGTTTGAAATATTTTGGTGTACACTGTCTACATTAGACATATAAAACAAATAATAGGTTTTATGTATGTACATATATATCATTTCCAAAAATGTAGAGAGAGAGAGAGAGAGAGAGAGAGAGAGAGAGAGAGAGAGAGTGTGAGAGAGAGAACTTATATCTAGAACGAAATTCGTATGTAATTATAAGAATAACAGGCATTTTTTTTATAAATGTTTCTTTTATGTATTTCTGTCTTTACACGTTTTTTAAACTATCTTGTTTAACATTCAAAACAAATTGATATTTTATTGCTGTACCGATTCAGCCTACGCAATGTTAGTTAACTATTCGACTTTTAAAATAAAAATTAATGTAATCTGAATAAATAACTCCTTGTCTCAACAGATATAAAAGTTCATATACTTTTCAAGTTTTATATATACTGTATTCAAGTTCATATACTCGTAAAGAGATATGTTTTTGATATTCGGTGGCCTGCATACATTTTTTCGAATAAACGTTTACATGCATTAAGAAACACCTTCACTCCTTCAGGCGTTTAATACATGCAATTACAGATTTACTTGGACAGATAGATAAAAGGGAGATAAAGAGAGAGAGATGTAGAGAGTATGAGAGAGAGAGAGAGAGAGGGAGAGAGAGAGAGAGAGAGAGAGAGAGAGAGAGAGAGAGAGAGAGAGATCGTGTGGGAAAGAGCGAGTGAGTTTTCAATGGACCTGGACCAATAATTTCAATGTTTACGAGTTATACTAAACCGGCAATTCACTTCGGTCTTACCGAACTGTAGTACTGCTGCACCGTCATCATTTTCGGTAAATAATTCTTCGTTTTTCATTATTCTTTTTGAGATTGATTGATAAAAAGTTTTATTTAACCACGCAAAGTTAGATCTCGTGAACCTTTCTTCCACTTAACGTGAGTTACATTTTACACTATACATACAATTTATGCCGACTCTTTTGGTCTTTAGAATTTATTTTACAAATAGAATACAAGAAGAAATAAAATTTTATACATTTTTGACTAAATATTTCACTATTCAACAATGTTTGGTTTATAAATTTATAAGACAATATGTATTTATCAATGTAAGAAATCAATGAATAACAATCAAAAGAAAAAAAAAAGATAAACAATAAAATCTTTAACAAAAAGTTTTGATAGTTACTCATGACTTTAAATTAATTAACCAATTTTTTTTACCGAGGGTTCGCAACAGCAGATGTCATATGCACGCCTCAGGGTGCCGTTGTTTTTGAAAAAAAGCCCATTTGTCGGTATGTCGGGTAATTTTCGTTATTATTATAGTTATTTAGAGAATGAAAAAACGTATAATATAAAACATAATATTAATTCATTTATGATTCCATGATTTTACGATGGGATTAACTATTTTCGATCAGATGTTTTAGATATTTTCTTTTGAAAGTACACAAACTGTTCTCAGAGGAAATGCTATTAGGGACATTATTAAACAGCTTTCTGCTGGTAATTAAGAAACAGTTGGAGTTTTAGTTCTATGAATTTCAAATATATTGATTTGTCACATGTTTAATGCTTAGATTTTAAAAAAATATATTTAACAAATAGAAAGTTCCATTGCTTATAGTGTATAATTTGATATTATGGTAATTTTTTGTAATTTATCATATCTTAACGTCTTTATTCTCTCACGATTTTATCAGACAAATCAGGCATTATAGGTGCACTGAGAGGTGTTTTGAATGAATTAACTATTTCCTTTCTAACAAATACATTTTTTGCTATAATTTTATTAAGGCAGTAAAAAAGTGAATAGATTTTACTAACACCAAGTCTATTGTTATATTGATTACACTGTAATAAAAGTGTAATCATTTTAGTGTTTAGTGACTGTTAATTAATGATTATATGGAGATCGTGAGATACGGTCTGTGACATAGGTTTAGAAAAAACGCTTTCTTTATCGTGCCAACGTTTCGATCTTTATTGAGATCATCTTCCGGGTTCAAAGTGTTTGCTCTCTGTGTAGATGTGTCATTATTGTGTGTCGTGTTGAGAGTGCCCAATGGCCATGGGCCAATATTAATAAACAAAAGACAAAAAGAAAATTTGTGAGGGAAAATATATGTAAAAACAACATAAAAAATATTTAATATGGTATTAAATAAAATTATTAAATATGGGTTTGCATATAGGTAACACTTAGTTAAAAACATGTCACAACATGTTATAAAGTATCTTTTCTATATTTAAAATAATTATTATATTATTATGTAAATATATCTATATTCTTCAATTTGACATATACATGAATTTTTAAATATATTATATACTAAAAATAACTACTTATTGGAAAAATCCGTTATTATGCTAACAAGGGGTGGTGACGGATGTGGTATCGCCGATTTAAATGAAGCTTTTTTTAGTGATAGTAGTATTAAACTGTGTACGAGTTCTTGCTGAAAAAGAGGTTATATCGTTTTTTAAATATGATTTTCTGTCTTTAAAGTTTTAGGATATCAGTGAATTTTTTGACCTGGAATAAGAAAATTATATGCAGG